CCCTGGGATCAGAGGGTGCTCAGCCCTGAAGTGCCAGTTGCTGAATGGGTGGGAAGGGTGGGTTTTTAAGGAGGAGAAGACAGGATGCAAATGGATTTGCTGGGGTTTGCTGTGGCAGTTGTTTCCCAGAACAATTGTGAGAGCTGGGTGCCAGGAACGGGCACAAAGCTCCTCTCTCTCCTCCGGGCAGAGGGAACGGGAGCTGCCCCCACCCTGGGGAAAGGGCACGGCCATCCTCGGGGTGGGAATGCCAAGGGATCATCTCCTGCCTTGGCTATCATGTCCTTCCTTCTTTCCATTGATTCCTGCCCTGTAATTCAGCGTTTGCTTTGAGGGGTTTCTCAGGGATGTTGGGATGTGACTGTGCATCGTTCCACGGGATCCCAGGATGGTTTGGGTGGGAAGGGACCTTAAAGCCCATCTCATCCCACCCCCTGCCATGGGCAGGGACACCTTCCACCAGCCCAGGTTGCTCCAACCTGGCCTGGGACACTTCCAGGGATGGGGCAGCCACAGCTTTTCTGGGTAACCTGTGCCAGGGCCTGCCCACCCTCCCAGGGAAGAATTCCTTCCCAATATCCCATCTATCCCTGCCCTCTGGCACTGGGAAGCCATTCCCTGTGTCCTGTCCCTCCATTCCTTGTCCCAAGTCCCTCTCCAGCTCTCCTGGAGCCCCTTTAGGCCTTAGAAGAGGCTCTCATGTCTCCCTGGAGCCTTCCCTTCCCTCTCCCAGCCCGGGATTCACATCCACACGTGCCTTTGAAATCACTGTTTTTCATTATCTGAAACCAAGAGCTTTTTTCTCTTTTGGTGGAAACGTTGCTCTGTGCTATTCAATCAGCATTAATTAAGCAGCTGACATGCAATAAATGGTGCTGCAGGAATGTTCCTGGGAACAGCAGCTCCTCAAGTTTTACTGTTCCTCTTGCAGCCGTAAATAAGGATAAATGTCTAATTGCTGCTGAAAGCATCCTGCTGGACCTAATGAGCTGATTAAAAACAATCCCTCATCGTGGACCTCTTTAATTTTATTTAACTTCAACCAGAGATTCCCTTTACTCACTGGTTCTGTGGCTGCTCTCAGCCCTCCTGGCTGAGCTGAGGTTGTTTTCCAGCAGTGGGGCCGTAGGGAAGGGATTTGTTTCCCCATTGTTATTCCACAAGGTCTCATTTCGTTCAACTGTTGGGAAGGAAATTAATTTCAGCTCTTCCCCGGTGCCATTTGTGCCCCCAGGGAAGTCCACAGGTTCTGCATCCCACGTGTTGCTGTTTGCAGGGATGGGGCTTTGGGAATTCTGAGCCAAATTCCGGCCAAATCAGCCCTGGGGGGGGGGGGAATCCACGTCCTGGCTTGTGCTGCCTTGGCCTGCAGTGGGTTCTGGCTGAGAGTTGGATCTCTGCAGCAAGAGGAGACGTTCCCACACATCTTTTGATTCCAGCTCCGGAGCCAGAGGGGAAGGGAGTGGATTTTGTGGAATGTGGTTGGTGTCCTGCCCATGAGGAGCCTCATCCAGCTCATCCTGCTGGTCAGGGCCAAACCAGCCCTCCCAGCCCTCCTGGCTGAGCCACCCAGACCCTGCAGGAACGTGCTGGTGCCGAGCAGATGGAGGGGGGAAGCAGGGAAGCTCCGGGGCTGGGATGTGAGGATTCACTTGTGCTGCTCCACCATCTGTGGAGGGGAGAAATTTCCCCCCACCTCGAGGCAGGGAGGGAGCAAAATGCGTGTTAAATTGCCACGTTCAGGGAGAAATGAAGCTCCAGAGTTTCTCCTCTCTGGCTGGGAGGGTTTTCAGGCTGTTACCCAGCTTTCCATCTTCATTTCAAATCGCTGAACTAGCTGGAATATAAAATATCCCCTCATCATGGACCAGCTCTGCCCCACAGGACTCTGCAGGAAGAAGTTCCCGGAGCCCTGAGGGCTCTCCCCCAGCTCTGGCCATCCCACCAGGCTGGAGGGATGAGGTGGGAGGGCTTGTTCTGCGCTTTGGGCAGGACTCAGATCCCTTCTGAGGGCCAGGAGCAGTGGTTAAGGAATGCTGAGTCTGGGAAAAGGGGTCTCATCTGGCCCCTGTGGCCAGCCTGGGTTGAAGCAGCCTCAGGAGCAGACGGACATCGTGCAGCTCCAGCACCCCCAGCTCGGAATTTTGTGCTCCCACAGCAGCTCCGGGCTCTGTGCTGGGAGATGTCCCTGTCCCCTGACAATGGGGGCTGTGTTCTCTGGCACTGCCTGTCCCCAGGAGCCACCTACACACGCAGGCACGGCCGGGGATTGTTCCTGCACCCACATCTGCCCAGACAAAGGGGCCCTGGAGGAGCCTGGAGGAGCCTGGAGGAGACTGGGGGAGCCTGGAAGAGCCTGGAGGAGCTGGAGGAGACTGGAGGAGCCTGGCATTTGCCCTCCCAAAGGCAGGAGGAACTCTGAGTGTGCTCTGTCATGGGGTTTCTTTGCTCTTGGTCGGTGCTGTCCTACAGCCCATCCTCCCTGGCTGATCCCCCTGTGCTGGGACAATCCCACAGAGCTCTGCCTGTGGGTTCAGCCCTTTTTTCAGCTCCAAAGTTACCTGCAAATTCACCTCCTCCTGATATTGCCCCACATTCACAGTCCCAGTGGAAGTCACACCTTCCACTGTCCCAGGTTGCTCCAAGCCCTGTCCAACCTGGCCTGGGACACTTCCAGGGATGGGGAGTTCCCAACCTCTCTGTGCAGGGGGGACGGGTAGGATGTGCCCTTTGGGTGCTGAGACCCCGGCACAGGTTGCACAGAGAGGTTGGGAACTCCCCATCCCTGGAAGTGTCCCAGGCCAGGTTGGACAGGGCTTGGAGCAACCTGGGACAGTGGAAGGTGTCCCTGCCCGTGGCAGGGGGTGGGACTGGATGAGCTTTAAGTTCCTTTCTAACTCAAACCATTCTGTGATTTGAGATGTCAGAGTTTGGGCTCAGCCCTTTCTTTATTCCAATATGCACAAATGTCCCCCAAAGGCACCTCCTCCTTTCCCTTCCCACAACCACCACCCAGCCTAAAGAAAACAACACCTTCTTGGCTCTCCAGCCCCAGATCAGCCTGTCCATGTGCACTGCTTCAATCCCCGCTGCCTTTCCCCCTCCCTGCCCTGAGATATCTGGGAATGGAGGGGGTTTAAAGCATTTTGTGACAGAGATGGGAAGCATCACTCTGGGAGCATCCTGAGGACTCCAGAACCCTCCTCCCTGCTGCCTCTCTGGGTGCAGAACTGGCTGGTTCAGTTCATAACTCAGGTCAGATTCGTGCTCAGGGACAGAGAGACATAAAACCAGCGGGTCCATCACTCATCTTAAGCTGCAACTGGAGAAATGGACTGCTTTAAAAAAAGGAAGGCTGCAGATCAAAATGATCTCTTCCCTCAGACAGGGAGCTAAAGGAGTAATTTGAAAAGCTTTGTTCAGCATGACCTGATCACAGGACTGCACAAGTGCTGGACATGACTTTAATTACTGGCCCGGCCCTATAATTATTCTGTCCTTCAACTATTTTTACGGCAACAGCTGGATTGGAAAATCCTCAGAACGAGCAGAATAGATCAAAGCAACGCTCCCCTCCGAGCCCCTTCCCGGCCTCCAGCCTGCCAGCTGGTGGAACTGGGACACACTGGGACAGCCAGGACCTGGGGGAGAACCCCCAACCCCTGGTGCTGCCCAGCAGGGTGACAGGGAGCAGCGTCCCCAGAGCTGCCTGGAGCCCGTGGGGGTTCAGCAGAGCTTCCCAGGCCATGTGTCAGGGCCGGTTGTTTTCCGTGACATCTGCTCCTCGCCGTTCCCAGCAGCGTTCCCGGCGCTGCCACAGCCCCTGCTCCCGGCTTCTGTCTGTCGGGCAGGGTCCCCCCTCCCTCTTCCCACCCTCCCTCCCGAGCTCGGGGACAGCTGAGGGGGCAGCACATCCCGAGCTGCAGCCTGGGAGTTTGTGTTCCAGGAGGACGGGCTCCCCTTGCTCGCCAAATGGCCCCGGCCAGAGCCCCTGCCAGGGCCAGCCAGGAGCAGGGCTGGGGATTTTCCACTCTTTCCTCTCTTTCCACTCTTCCTTCCACTCTTTCCTGCTCTGCTGGCATCTTTTGCTCTCAGCTGAGGGAGCTGCTGCCCTTTCCACAGCTCTGCTCTGGACAGTGAGTGGTGACTCAGGTGACGTGGCCCCTGCGCCTTCCCCAGGGAGGGGGATTGTCCCCACGGGGGGAATTGTCCTCCCTGCTGCTCCTTTGGGAGTCTGGGGGGGTCGTCAGGAGCAAAATGGAAAGTGGGGGGTGTGTGGCAAATGAGCTCCTGGCAGGAGCATCTCAGGAGCTTTGGGTGGGAGGCACATTTGGCACCAGGGAGTGCCTGGGCAGGGCAGTGGCTGGAGCTGGGGGGAAATGGGCTTGTTTAGAGACCAGGCAGGAAAGGTCTCTTTGTGCCCCCACTCCCAGAACTGTGCCAGGGCGGTGCCAGGCTCTTTGGGACACTGGGGGAGCTCCAGAGCCAGTGCCCTGCTATCCCCAGGCTGAATGCAGAGGCTCATCCCTGTGCCCTGGCTGAGGGACTGGATATTTTTAGGCATTTCTTGACCATAAAATACAATTGTTATTATTATTATTATTTCTTTAATCAGCAAATCATCCTTTTTATTTTATCCTTTGGGGACTGTTCACTGCTTTTGTGTTCAGTAGCTCTGAGTGACTTTCCATCGGTGCCAGGGGAGAGCAAGGCCCTTCTCCTGCCACCCCAGCTGGGCATATCCTGTGATTCTGTGATCCAAGGGGTCCCTCCAGGGTTTGAGCACAAATAACCCCCCTAAAGCTGATTTTCTGCCAGCAGAACAACCCAGAGGTGGGAGAGCTGTGCCCACGGGCTCATACCTGGGCCACCAGAGCCTGGAGACCCCCCCTGGCTCTATTCACACCCCCAGCCCTCCACACAAACATTGTTTTGGGGCCTAGAAACCCTCCATTCCTGCAGGAACAGAGCTGTGATGGTGGCCTGGGTTTGTTTTGCAGCTGAGGATCCCTCTGCACGTGCTGCTGCCCCGGGGACACTCGGAGGGGCTGCCCCTGCCCAGCCCTCCAGGATGGTCATGCCCGGGCACCGCCTCCCCTGCGCAGGGATCGTCCTCGCCCTCTGCCTCCAGCACCTCGGCAGCACCATCGAGGTCCCTCTGGATCGTAAGTTGTGCTTTCACCCTTCTCAGATCTCCCCCTGAACCGGGGCGGGAGGTGGAGTGAAGGTCTGCTGAGCACGGGGGGAGTTTCCTGCTCCACAACCGGGTTCCCTTTGCTCTCGTTCCTTTGTTTGTCGTCGTTTTTTCTTTTTAAACCACTCACACTCCAGAAAGTCACCCTAAATCCTCTCTGGTGTAGCCAATCTGCCTCAAAAACTGAGCAGGGGACTCAAAACCAGGATTAGAGCACCTGAGCCAAGCTGGGGGCTCAGGATAAGCCACGGGAAAGGGGGAATGTTCTGGACTGCTGGGGGGTCTCCAGCGCTGCAGGAGAGGGGGGTGGGCACCCCAAAGCCCACCCAGGCAGCCTGTGCTGTGTTTCATGGCAAACCCTCCTGCAGAGGAGCTGAGAGCCCCCAGGACCCCTCAGCAGCAGCTTTTCTCCCGTGGGCAGCGAGGGGGAAGCTCAGGACATGCCTGAGCCCTGGAATGGTTTGTGTGGAGTGTTGGAACAACCCGCTGGGTCCGTGGGCATGAGGAGCCCGGGGCTGCTCCCCAACTAACCTCTTGTCTTCTCTCCTCTCTGCTGGCACTTGGGGGATAACAGCAAGTATTCAGAGTGAATGTAAGTGTTCCCTGCCCTCTGTGTGTCCGTGTCCGTGTCCTCTGCGTGAGGGATCTGCACAGAGCAGGGGCTGCCGGGGGCACACCCTGGGTGTGAGGGCATTGCCTGTGGCCAGAACAGGAGCAGCCACTTCTCCTGCCCAGCTGGAGCAGCTCGGGAGGTGTTCCTGGGCTCTGGGCTGCCCCTGGAGCAGGAGCCAGGCTGCCCTCACCATGGGAATGTTGTTTCTGCAGGGGTTTGTTGTGGTTTTTGGCAGCCCCAAGGGCAGGGTGGGCTCCTCTGCCTGGCACCAGCTGGTGTGCCAAGCTCAGTCCCACCTCCTGGCACATTTGGAGCATCACTGGCTCTGGGGGGGATGAGCAAACACCCTCAGACCTTCATCTCTGGGCTGGGATCTTCAACTCCAAGTTCAGGGCCAGAGCCAGATCCTGCAGCAGCTCTGGGGTTGTGTGTCCCTTTTCACAGCCCTGCCCCTCTAAACACCAGTTTAGAGGAGCCCCTCTGGGGCCAACCTGGGGGGTTTAGGGCCTCCTTCTTGCACAGGGAGTCCCTGTAAATGTCTGGGGGTCCCTGGAAGCTGCAGCCCCTCCCTGAGGAGCAGGATGGGCTTCAATGGGATTCAATCCGTGGGAGCAGGAGAAGGTAACTGTGGAATTTCTGAAATCCAAGCCACCAAGTGAGAACCAGGAGGGGTTTTGGTACCTAAAGGGAACCTGAGCAGTGCCACAGTCTGAGAGGGGAGAGCAGCCCACCCCACCCGTGCTTGTGGCGGTTTCCTCAGGGCTGCAAAGCACAAATGGAGGGTGCAGCCTGGGCAAGAGGCTGGGCAAGAGGCTGGGCAAGAGGCTGGGCAAGAGGCTGGGCAAGAGGCTGGCATCCCCTCGGGATGTGCTGGGGGTGGCAGAGGGGTGGGCACAGCCCTGCTCAGGGTGTCCCCTCTGCCCTGCAGTGCCCCAGCCCCCCACCATCACCAAGCAGTCGGTGAAGGATTACATCGTGGACCCCAGGGACAACATCTTCATCGAGTGTGAGGCCAAAGGGAACCCCGTGCCCACGTAAGTGCCCCCCTGGAGCAGCTCCCCTCCAACCTGGCTGTGCCACGGCCACCACCAGCTCTGCCAGCCCAGGTGAGGACCTCCCCCAGGTACCACCCTGTGCTTGCAGCTTCTCCTGGACTCGGAACGGGAAGTTCTTCAACGTGGCCAAGGACCCCAAGGTGTCGATGCGGCGCCGCTCGGGGACCCTCGTCATCGACTTCCACAGCGGGGGCAGGCCCGAGGACTACGAGGGGGAGTACCAGTGCTTCGCCAGGAACGACTATGGCACTGCCCTCTCCAGCAAGATCCACCTCCAGGTGTCCAGTGAGTCACCGGCCAGGAGGGTGGGGGGGGTCTGTGCCGTGGAGGGGGCACGGAGAGCTGGTGTGGCCTCGCCGGGAACACCGGGACAGTTCTGGCCAGGGGAGATGTGAAGCCATCAGAGAGAGTCCAAAGGAGGGCAACAAAGGTGGGGAAGGGCCTTGAGGAGCAGCTGAGGGCACTTGGTGTGTCCAGCTGGAGAAGAGGAGGCTGAGGGGAGAGCTCATGGCAGTTCCAAATTCCTCAGGAAGGGACCAGGGACAGGACCCAGGGAAGGGCTGGAGCTGTGCCAGGGCAGGCTCAGGTTGGATCTCAGGGAAAGGTTCTTCCCCCAGAGGCTGGTTGGGCACTGCCCAGGCTCCCCAGGGCAGTGGGCACAGCCCCGAGGCTGCCAGAGCTCCAGGAGGGTTTGGATGATCCTCTGGGGCACAGGGTGGGACTGTGGGGATGGGTCTGTGCAGGGCTGAGGGTTGGACTGGATGGTCCTTGTGGGTCCCTTCCAACTTGGCATATTCTGGGATTCTGGGATCTCAGCCTCCTCCAGCTCTCACCTGTCTCCAGGTGCATCCAGCAGGTGTGGGGGGGTTATGGCTGTATCCAACAGGGAAACATTTGGCATGGACTCAAGGGCATGGATTTAAGGGCATGGATTTAAGGGTATGGATTCAGGGGTATGGATTCAGGGGTATGGATTTAAGGGTATGGATTCAAGGGTATGGATTTAAGGGTATGGATTCAAGGATATGGATTCAGGGGTATGGATTCAGGGGCATGGATTTAAGGGTATGGATTTAAGGGTATGGACTCAAGGGTATGGATTCAAGGGCATGGATTCAGGGGTATGGATTTAAGGGTATGGATTTAAGGGTATGGACTCAAGGGTATGGATTCAAGGGCATGGATTCAAGGGTATGGATTCAGGGGCATGGATTTAAGGGTATGGATTTCAGGGTATGGATTCAAGGGTATGGATTCAAGGGTATGGATTTAAGGGTATGGATTTCAGGGTATGGATTCAAGGGTATGGATTCAAGGGTATGGATTCAAGGGTATGGATTTAAGGGTATGGATTCAAGGGTATGGATTCAAGGGCTTGGATTTAAGGGCATGGATTTAAGGGCATGGATTTAAGGGTATGGACTTAGGGGTATGGACTCAAGGGTGTGGATTCAAGGGCATGGATTCAAGGGCATGGATTTCAGGGAGTCATGCCCAGGCAGAAATGAAGTTTGCATCGAGGCCACCCCATGGAAAGCAGGCCAGGCCCAGCGGGAAGAGCTCCGTGGATTGTCCCTCCCTCTGTCCCTCACGTGCCCTTGTTTCCCGTGGCAGAGTCTCCCCTGTGGCCCAAGGAGAAGGTGGATGTGATCGAGGTGGATGAAGGGGCCCCTCTGAGCCTGCAGTGCAACCCCCCCCCGGGGCTGCCCCCGCCCGTCATCTTCTGGATGAGCAGCTGTGAGTGGGGAACCCCCTGCCCCCCCCTGCAGGGCTCCCAACAACCCTCTGTAGGGTCCCTGCTGCTGGTTTAAGGCACTTCCTGCTGGTTTAGGCTGGTTTCTGGTAGTTCAGGCCAGCTACTGCTAGTTTAGGGTTGTTATTGCTAGTTTGGGGCAGTTCTGATAGTTTAGGGCAGTTTCTGATAATTTAAGATAGTCTCTGTTAGTCTGGGGTTGTTACAGCCAGTTCAAGGGAGTTTCTGCTGGTTTAAGGTCATTATTGCTAGTTTAGGGTTGTTACTGCTAATTAGGGCTGTTACTGCTAGTTTAGGGCTTTTACTGCTAGTTTAGAGTAGTTTCTGCAAGTTTAGGGTCTTTACTGCTGGTTTAGGGTTATTATTGCTAGCTTAGGGCATTTTTTGCTAGTTTAGGGCAATTGCTGATAGTTTAGGGTAGTTTCTGCTAGTTTGGAACATTTTCTGCTAGTTTAGGGCAGTTTCTGCTAGTTTAGGTTTGTTCCTGCTAGTTTAGGGTCTTCATTGCTAGTTTAGGACATTTTCTGCTAGTGTAGGGCAGTTGCTGCTAGTTTAGGGCAGTTGCTGCTAGTTTAAGGTAGTTTCTGCTAGTTTAGGGTAGTTCCTGTTAGTTTAGGGTAGTTCCTGCTAGTTTAGGTTTGTTCCTGCTAGTTTAGGTTTGTTCCTGCTAGTTTAGGGTCCTTACTGCCTAGTTCAGCTAGTTTTTGTTCCTGCTAGTTTAGGGTCCTTACTGCCAGTTTAGGATAGTTTCTGCTAGTTTAGGGTTGTTCCTGCTAGTTTAGGGTCCTCACCCTGGTTCAGAGCTCAGAGACACCCCCCCTGCCCTGGGGCTGGTCAGGAGCCCCCAGCCCTGCCTCAGTGCCCGCTGTGCCCACAGCCATGGAGCCCATCCAGCAGGACAAGCGAGTGTCCCAGGGGCAGAACGGGGACCTTTACTTCTCCAACGTGATCCTGCAGGACGCCCTGACCGACTACAGCTGCAACGCCCGCTTCCACTTCACCCACACCATCCAGCAGAAGAACCCCTTCACCCTCAAGGTGAAAACCAGTAAGTGTCACGGGGCTGGGGCTCCCCTGGGCCAGGGTTTTCCTTCCAGACACCTTGGAACCTCCCAGGGAGAAGAGTGGCCTCCTTTGTTTATTTAGGACGGCACAGGAAGGGGTTTGGATGAGGGATGATGGTCCTTGGGGGGGCTCCTCTGGTCCCCTCCAGCAGCTTCTTGGTGCAGGTATCCCTAAATCCACGTGTGTGGGCTGAGCTGGGGAGGGTCCAGCACAGGTGGGGTGTTCCCACCATCCGCAGGGAAAGGTGAAATCCTGGGGGATCGCTCCCCCTTTGAAGAGCTGGAAGTGGAGCTGGACGTGGCCTCCCTTTGCTCCAGGTTTGGCTCCAGGGGCTGGTGCTGCCTCGAGGGTGGGGAGCTGAGTGTGTGCCAGCCTTGCCCAGCTCAGGGTGTCCCTGCCCAGCTGCTCTTTGGCTCCTTCCCTCTGGGAATGTGCTGGCAGGGGGCACGGAGCCCTCGGGGGGTGACCCTGGGTGATCCCGGTGTCCCCACGGGAGGAGCATCACCCTGGGGGACACCAGGGGCACACCCAGGGCTCTCTGCAGAGCAGGTCCAGCCTCCAGTGGCTTCTGCTCCACAAAGGAGGTTGGTTGAAGGAAAAGGAGCTCCTGGTGTGCTGTGGGGCCGCTGGCAGAGGGGACTGAGCTGAGGCTGCTGAGTTGCTGCGGGTCCTGCAGAGCACGGGCTCTGTTTTGGGGGGTGGGAGGTGTGTGCAGAGCACCAAAAAAATCAGCAGTCAATATAAACCCATCCTCTCTCGGCCCCAGTCACCAGCCAGGAGCCATCACCCCTTCCCAGTGAGGTCCAGCCGGGAGGCAGAGGGTGCTGGCTGTGTTTTGGGGGGGTAGAGCAGGCTCAAGGAGCTCCTGGCTGCCAGTGGTGGGAGCTTAATTTGGTCTCCCAGCAGCTCAAATCAGCAGGAATTGCTGTTAAAGGGACCTCAGGCAGGGCCTGGGGGGGTTTACACTTCCTTGTGGCAGCTTCTCCTCTGTGCAGAGCTTGAGTGGAGACCCAGCAGCTGAAATCCTCCAGCAGGCTCTGCCAGCAGGGCAGGGGAGCAGGTCGTTAATTCTGAATTTTATTTGCCTGTTTACAGAGCTGGGCAGAGAATCCCAGCGCTCACCTCTTGGGGAAGGACTGAGCCCTGGATTGGTGTGAGCTGGGGAAATCCTGGCAAACCAGGATCTGGGGTGGGTTGAGCCTCCAGGGGCTCCAGCCTGCCAGATTTGTGCAGGTCCAGGAGCGATGTGGGTGAAACCCTGGCAGGTTTTTGTGCCCACAGCCACGAGCTCCCCCTCCTGCTGCACTCAGGGGCCACCACTTCACTCCCTGGATGTGGAGAACTGGGCCCTCTCTCCCAGTTCTCCTCAGGAAACATCTGCTGTGTGATCAGATGCAAATTCCACCCCGGGAGCCCCCCAGAGCTCTCTTTGTGATTTCGAGAACTCAGGCTCTGAGTTCTCACCTGTCACTACAGAAAAAAAGTGGTTTATATTTACATTGTTCAAAGGGGCTGAGCTTGAATTTGTCTCAAGCTCTTTGATCGTCTCAGCCTCAAGCCAGGAGCTCTGGCTCCTTAAAAAAAGGTGCTGGAAAATCATGGCATGGGATTGCCATGGGATGCAAGAAGAGGAGAATGGAAAGGCTGCAGGGAGGGATCCCTCTGTGCATTGTTTGGTGGTGGATCCAGGTCCAGGCAGCTCTTGGGCATCTTCTGGGCTCTCTTAACCCCCTTTTGGGTGCTGATGTGAGCTGGGAAGGGCAGATCCTGCAGCGCTCTCAGGTCAGGATGATGAATCCCCCCACTCCTCTCAGGGTGGTGATTATTCTTCATAGCTGATGGCTCGTGCTGGGTGTCCATAAACAAGAGCAGCATCTTATTGAGGAGCTGGAACACAACCTGCTCTCCTTACCTTGTCATTAAAAGGGATTTTACAGCAGGTTATGCCTTTAGAGCATTATTATTATTATTATTATTATTATTATTATTATTATTATTATTATTATTATTATTTGTTCACCTTTCCCCATCGCCACACCACTGCCCAGCTGTGCCCAACCCCTGGCTGTGCCCAACCCCTGGCTGTGCCCAGCCTCTGCTTTGTGCTGGGGGAAAAGCAGCTGGAAGACGATTTTCTTTGTGGTTAAGAAACCGAGAGGAAAAAAACCACAACATCTCCTTTGTTTGTTTGTTTTTTTTTTTTTAAAAGCAATTTTGTTTCTTTCGGAGCAAAACACTTCTGGGAAATGTTTACCCTGTGATTTTCACACACAGTTTAGTTGCCTTCCCACCTGGCGGGGGAGGAAAAACAACCCCTCCGTGGCCGTGTTTGTCCTGGAGGGCAGCTGTGCTTCTGTCTCCCTGCCCCTGCCTGTCGCTCCTGCCTGTGGGGAGGTTGTTCTGTCCCCTGTCCTGCTGTCCCCCCTCGCCTCGGGGAGGTTGTTCTGTCCCCTGTGCTGCCTCCTGCCCGTCCCCCCCTGGCTTGGTGCCCCCGGAGTCGCTCACAGTGTTTTGTTTATTGCAGAGAAGCCCCATAACGAAACGTCTTTACGAAATCACACTGCCATGTACAGTGGTGAGTCAAGCCCGGCTTGTGGAGCCCCTGGTCTGGTTTAACCTCCCGCCTAACCCCACTGACCCCGCACTAACCGGGCCCTCCCCGGCCCCTCGGGGGGGCTGTGCCCTCAGCTTTGCCAAAAAACTAGGGACACAAAACGAGCTCAAGCCCCCGGGAAGCTTTCACCTTTCCAATGAGCGAGGTTTTTAAGCTAATTAAGAGGATCTGCAGAGCCCCAGCTCGGGAGGTGTCGGGGTTAAGAGGATCTGAGCGAGCCCGGGGTTGCTCCCTCCCGGGGTTGCTCCCTCCGTGTCATGATTTAAAGATCAGACCCAGCGTCCCCCCTTCTGGGTGTCCTCAGAAAGAGCAGCTCCAGGAAGAGCAGCCCCAGGAAGAGCATCTCGTGTATTTGCAGCTAAAACCAGGCAGTGACTGGGAGAGGAAAAACAAAAGGAAAAAAAAAAAAAAGAAAAGAGGAGTATTTGGTTTTCTTGGAATCCGGGAGCTTTGTTTGTGTGCTGAGAGGTTGGACGTGTGCTGGAGGCTTTCCCGAGGCTCCTGCCCGTTTTTTCTGGGCAGGGAATTCCCTCTGGGTCCTGCCTCTGCTGGGAGAAGCTCATCCCAAACTCATCAGTTCTGCCTCCCACACAAAACCATGCAGGGCTCCGGGGCCCCGGGATGGATTGGAATTGTCACATGGATTGGAATTGTCACATGGATTGGAATTGTCACATGGATTGGAATTGATACATGGATTGGAATTGTCACATGGATTGGAATTGTCACATGGATTGGAATTGATACATGGATTGGAATTGATACATGGATTGGAATTGATACATGGATTGGAATTGTCAGGGATGTGATGGGATAATGTGGGAGATGGGGCTGGGTTGGGTGATGCTGAGAGCCCAGGCAGTGCCAGGGATGTGAGCACCCCACCAAAGCCCCCCAGCTCGGGTGCTGCCATAGGGCAGGACTCCCTTTCTGCCCCTCCTGCTGCTTTTGGGGCCGGGGTCGGGTGGCAGCAGGGTGGGCACAACCCCAGGGATGCCCCACACTGGTCCCCACCGTGCCCTGGAGTGTCCCCCCCAGAGCCACAGCTTCCCTTGGGCCTGGCACGACCCAGGGCACTTCTTATTGTGCCACGGGGACTTTTGGGGACAAGGAGGGCTTTTGCCAGCCCAGAGCAGACAGAGCTGGAGTGTGAGAAGAGGGGACTGTGCCAGGCAAGTTCCCTCCCTGCCCAGGGAACGGGGATTTGGCATCAGGAGCAGGAGGTTCCTCAGGGTGCTGGGGAAGGCTCTGAGGCAGAACCAGCCTTGGAAGTGCTGGTGGCAGCAAAGGGGCTGGGAATGGTCTGGAAATGCTGGGAGAAACGGCTGGGAAAAGGGATTGTCAGCAAAATCAGCTTCCATGGGGGCTGCACGAGCTGCATCGTTCCTCGGGGAGAAAGGAATGAGAGGAGAGACCTCTCTCAGGGACAGAGAAATCCAGTGGACAGGGGTGGTCCTGGGCTGAGAAATCCAGTGGACAGGGGTGGTCCTGGGCTGAGAACTCCAGTGGACAGGGGTGGTCCTGGGCTGAGAACTCCAGTGGACAGGGGTGGTCCTGGGCTGAGAAATCCAGTGGACAGGGGTGGTCCTGGGCTGAGAAATCCAGTGGACAGGGGTGGTCCTGGGCTGAGAACTCCAGTGGACAGGGGTGGTCCTGGGCTGAGAAATCCAGTGGACAGGGGTGGTCCTGGGCTGCCTGAGCTCCCACTGCTCGTTGCTGTTCAGGGCAAAGGGATGCCCAAAGAGTTAGTCAGGAAAATGAGATTTTATCTGCACAACCTCCAAGATTTCTGTCCTATTCCTATTTTAGGATAAACTTCCTGCTCTTTGCATTGTCAGGACTATTTGCACTTAACAGCCCCTGGAAAACCTCCTGGCCCCAGTGAATTCCAGCCGCTCCCTCACACCCCTGTGCAGACCTAAGTCCAACCCAGCACTTCATTAATTAATAGTTGATGAGCTGGTGGAATAATTGTTACCCTCAGCCCTCTTCCTTGCTGCTGACCCCGTGGTTCTCCCTGGAATGACCTGCCTGGCTCTGCTGGCCACTGGAACCAGCTGGGGCAAGCGAGGAGTCTTTGGGGTGGGCACAGGGACATCAGGATCCCGAGGATTTGGGGGGTTTGGGGGTCTCGGGGCTCTCAGTGCCTCTGCCTTGGGGTGCTGGGACGGGCACAGCGCTGGAGCCAGCTGGCAAAGGGAACTCCAGAGGCTGGGAGTCTCATTCCTGGGATATTCCTTATCTCAGGGACATGGGATGTGCTGTGTGGATGCTGGGGGGGACAGACATCCCAAACAGCCCCTGGGACATCCCACCCAGCCCTTCTCCCAGCCAGGGCAAATGCAGGGATTTCCCTGCTGCCAAGCTGGATTGTGGGGACAAACTGGCTGCAGTTATCCAGGGAAAAACAAGCTAAAAGGATTAACTGGATATTTTATCAGCAGAAGTTTCTCACTTTTTTTTTTTTTTAAATGGAAACCAAGGCCTGTTTTGGTGTTTTTTCTCTGTCCTTTTTGGCAAACCTGTGGGGTGTTTGGAGCTGGCTGTGCAGCAGGAGAGCAGCTGGGATGTGTCAGGGTGTGCACAGCCCTGGACACCGGAGGGGATGGAGAATTTTTAGATGCCACCAGGTCAGGGCTGTGGGAGGGGGCAGTGGGTGTTTCTGGAACCACCAGTTTGGAAGCAGAGTCTGTTTTGGAGCAGAAGGAAACAGCCAGGGGATTTATTTTTCCGGTTCTGATCCATCCAGAGGGATGAGTGAGACTTTGCTGGATGGCTGAGAGCTTCCAGCTGGAGCTTCCACACGTTCAGAGCCAGAGCAGAACTGGGAGAATTTCTGGCTGCTCCTTCTTAGAAACAGCAAAACATTTCTTAGTGATGCTGTGCTGAGGCAAAAAGTCTCTCAGTTGTGCAACGCTGTTGTTATGTTTGTTAAACAGGTGGGTAGGATACTAATTTATCTCCCTTATTTTTAATTGTCATCATTAATAAATGGCTCACAAAATTTGGCTTGCACTGCTGCTTTAGCTCTGCTAGTTCTGCCCCGGGCTCCTGAGCCAGCAGGGCTGTGGTAGGAGTGAGTCCTGCAGCCTGTTGGCTGACAAAAGCCCACAAAAAAGTATCCCACTGCCCTAATCGGGTGGGAGAAGCTCATGGATGTGGCTGGAGAGGTGGGAGCCGGGATAAACTCCAGCTCCAAGCCCAGCCCCTGGCTCTGCTGTGCCCCCCCAGAGCCCGGGATGGGTTGGGATACCCGGGAATGAGACCTTCTCCAGAGGCAGGGATGCAAAGGGCAGCGTCTGCCTGCCCAGAGAACCAACCCCTGTGGATCCAGCAAAGCTCTCCCTGCCCTGGTAATCCATTAATGGAATAACTGACTAGCCCTCGGGGGTCCCCCTGGATGTCCCACAGTGGGATGTGTGGCTCTGGCTGGTGAGGAGTCCTTTCCAAGGCATGGATTAACTCCTGAGGCTGAGTTTCCCTTCCCTCATGCCAGGCTGGGAACTCCAGCACAGCCCCTGTCCTCTCTCCCCCCTCCTTCTCCCCCTGGCACAGCTCTGGAGGCTGCCCAAAGAAACGTGGGCATCCCCCAAGCCCTCCTGGCACTGGGCACACCCGGCTGCCTCCTGCTCACTAGGCCAAAGAAGCTTTGGGGGTTCAGGAGAGGCTTTGGGCTGCACCCCAAGCTCCTGCTCCTGCCCCGGGGTGGGCTCTGCCCACAGATCCCCCCAGGATTTGTAGTGTCCCTGTGCCAGCCCTGCCCATTCCACCCCCTTTCCTAATCTCATAACTTCCATCTCTGCTACTGCTGCTTTCAAACCCATCTCATCCTGTTTTGTCCTCACTGATCCAGATCTAGGTCAATAATTCCACTTATTAATGGAATTTATTCCATAAATAAATAATTTTCCCCCCTACAAAGAGAGATCTTCACCGTGTGTATCTGTAGAGAGTTGCCTCGTGTCTTCCCCTGATTTTCTCCTATTAAACTTCCCTGTCCAGTCCTGAAATGTGTCATTTTGGTGGCTGAGTTGTTCCTTTCCAAAGGGCCCTGCCCTTCCAGGCCCTTGGTGAGGCTGGAGAAGCTCTTTGGTGCTGCTGGAGCCCCCAGGCAGCGCCGGGATGCTCCATGTTCCCGAAGTCTCTGTGTCCAAGTGTCCCAGCTGCCTGAGTAAACCCCTCCTGTGACCACTTTGTCCTTCATCACGTGTTTGTCCATCAGTATTTCCCAGTCTCATCCCATTTCAGCCCATTTCCTTGTGCCAGAGGCAGGGATGGGCAGGAAAGGTGGGAGCTGCCGGTGCAGGGACCATTCCCGCGGCTCAGCTCCCTCTGCCCACCCTCTGCTGCTCCTCTACCCCCCTGCCCGCCCAGCATCCTCTCTCCACCCCTTCATTTCTTCATTTAAACCCCATTTGGAGCCCTCCTCTCCCCTCCAGGTGCATTTTTGGGGGAGTTCAGCCTCCCAGGTCGGCAGGGGAGGCGAGACGTGTTTCTGGCCCCCGAGGAGACTTTTTTTTTTTTTTAAAAGCCCCGTGTTTTGTTTCTTTTGTTTTTGTTTTCTCTTTCTCTCCCCTGCTGATTCCAGCCCGAGGGATCACGGAAACGACTCCCAGCTTCATGTATCCCTACGGGACCACCAGCAGCCAGATGGTGCTCCGAGGGGTGGATCTCCTGCTGGAGTGCATCGCGTCCGGAGTGTACGTACCCTGGGGGGGGCCAGGGTCATTCCCAGTGGGATGAACCGGGACCAGGGTGCTGAATCACCATGGAAACACCTCTGTCTGGGAAAAAGGGGTCATTCCTCTCTTTTAACAAGGCTCTCATAACCTACTCGATGCACAAAAGCATTTAGGAAACGGAGAGCTGAGGTTTGCAGGTGTCTCTGGATGCTTGTCCAAGGATAATTCCCCACTGGTTTCTCCTTAGATCTGTGGGTCTCCTGGGAGCTCCTCAGCACGCTGTGGGTGAGGACAGCTGTGGTTCTACCCCAGTGCCCTGCTGGTCTGCCCATGGCAGGGGGTTGGAGTGGGATGGTCTCTAAGGACCCTTCTAACCCAGAGCATTCCAGGGTTCTCTGATCCTGCACCCCCCAAGCCATGAGGTGAACCAGGGGATCACCTGGTGGTGCTCAGGGTCCTGCTTTAGGGGGGGTGGTCTGAAGGAGGGTGGCCCAGCAGCTGGCTCAGCCCTTCTCCCTGGCCGTGAGTGCTTCCCAGTGCAGGATCATCAGCCGCTTTCTTGGGAGCCGTTTCCCTGCCTGGCAAAAGCACTGACCTGTTCCCCTCTCCTCAGCCCAGCACCGGACATCATGTGGTACAAGAAAGGAGGGGAGCTCCCCGTGGGCAAAACCAAGCTGGAGAACTTCAACAAGGCCCTTCGCATCTCCAACGTGTCCGAGGAGGACTCCGGGGAGTATTTCTGCCTGGCCTCCAACAAGATGGGCAGCATCCGCCACACGATCTCGGTGAGAGTGAAGGGTACGTCACCTTTACCTTCCCATCTCGGGGACCCCCACGCCAGGAGCTGGGAGGGCACGGGAGGGGGGCTCTGGCTGCTGGGAGGGGCACTGGGGGCTTCCCAGAGGGGCTGGTTCTCTGCTGTGTCCAGCCAGCCTTGTGTCTTCATAGAATCATGGAATGGTTTGGGTTGGAGGGGATGTTAAAGACTGTGCCATGGGCAGGGACACCTTCCTCTAGCCCAGGTTGCTCCAGCCTGGCCTGGGACATTTCCAGGGATGGGGCAGCCACAGCTTCTCTGGGCAACCTGTGCCAGGCCCTCCCCACCCTCCCAGGGAGGAATTTCTCCCTCAGATCCCACCTAAACTGTCCCTCAGTTTGAAGCCACCTTGTCCAAACTGCCCTAAAAGCAGCGTGAGATGAGCTCTCAGCTGAACTTCACTGACATGAAGTGTGGGCTCGTGTGGCCAAAGAGGGGAGGGAGCCTGAGCCCACCAGGGGAAACCCCCTGGAGAGGAGGGAATTTTCCTTGTCCCGCATCTCCAGGGAGCAGCAGAGGGGGAGCTGGCAGGAGGGGGGGCTGCTGCCCGTGGAACTGGGGCCCTGGGGTGTAACTGGGACCCCGGAGTGTAACTGGGGTCCTGGGGTGGAACTGAGACCCTGGGGTGTAACTGGGGCCCTGGGGTGTAACGGGGACCCTGGGGTGTAACTGGGACCCTGGGGTGTAACTGGGGTCCTGGGGTGGAACTGAGACCCTGGGGTGTAACTGGGACCCTGGGGTGTAACTGGGGTGTAACTGGGACCCTGGGGTGTAACTGGGACCCTGGGGTGTAACTGGGGCCCTGGGGTGTAACTGGGGCCCTGGGGTGTAATTGGGACCCTGGGGTGTAACTGGGGCCCTGGGGTGTAACTGGGGCCCTGGGGTGTAACTGGGACCCTGGGGTGTTTTCCAGCTGCCCCGTACTGGCTGGATGAACCCGAAAACCTCATCCTGGCCCCCGGGGAGGACGGGAGGCTGGTGTGCCGAGCCAACGGGAACCCCAAACCCTCCATCCAGTGGCTGGTGAACGGGGAGCCCATCGAAGGTGAGCGGGGGGGGCTGTGCCAACCCCACCACAAACCCAGCCCAGGGTCCTGTGGCTGAGCCAGAGTTGCTGCTGGGGTGCCAGGTACTGCCCGGGCTCCAGCCCCACACACTGGCCCTGCTGCTGGTTTAGGGTTGGTACTGCCAGTTTAGGGCAGTTTCTGCTAGTTTAGAGTCTTTACTGCTAGCTTAGGGTAGCTTCTGCTGGTTTAGGGTCTTCACTGCTAGTTTAGGGTAGTTTCTGTTAGTTTAAGGTCTTCACTGCTATTTTAGGGCAGTTTCTGCTAATTAGGGCTGTTACTACTAGTTTAGGGTAGTTTCTGTTAGTTTAAGGTCTTTACTGCTAGTTTAGGGTTGTTTCTGCTAATTAGGGTCGTTGCTACTAGTTTAGACTAGTTTCTGCTAGTTTAGAGTCTTTACTGCTAGTTTAGGGCAGTTTCTGTTAGTTTAAGGTTTTTACTGCTAGTTTAGGGTTGTTCCTGCTAGTTTAGGGTTGTTTCTGCTAATTAGGGCCACTACTACTAGTTTAGGGTGGTTTTTGCTGATTTACTAAACCTGACTGCTGGTTCAGGGCAGTGCCTGAGGTGAGTCCAAGCTGCACCACGGGCTCACCGTTGGGACTGGGGAGGTCACGAACCACCGCTTGCTTTTCCCTGGGCCGGGCTGAGAGGATGTTTGGTGCTGTTGCCCGGTGAATTCTTGGCTTAAACCAGACTTAGTAGAGTGCTCTTGCTGTGTTGAAGCCTCTGCCCACAACCCGAGCCGGGAGGTGGCCGGGGACACCATCGTGTTCCGGGACACGCAGATCGGCAGCAGCGCCGTGTACCAGTGCAACGCCTCCAACGAGCACGGCTACCTGCTGGCCAACGCCTTCGTCAGCGTGCTGGGTGAGCACAGCCCCCTGCACTCACTTGGCACACAGCCCAAGCCTGCTCTGGCTTGGGAGGGACCTTAAAGACCACCCAGTCCCACCCTGCTGTCGCCGCCCGCTAGCCCAGGGGGCTCCACGTTTATCCAGCCTGGCCTTGGACTCTTCCAGGGATGGGGCAGCCTCTGAGTCTGTGGGCAACCTGTGCCAGGGCCTCCCCACCCTCACAGGGAACAATTTTTTCCTAATATCCAATGTTTATCCAATCTCTCCTATTTAAAACCATTCCCCCTTGTCCTCTCACCATCTGCCCACATTAAAGGTATTCTCCCTCTCTTACAATCCCCCTTTTCCCTGCAGAAGTTCTCCATTTGCTTTCCTCTCTGTCATTAGCTGCTCCACAGAGGTTCCTGACCTCTGCAGCTGGGCTTTGGAGCAGAAATCCATTGCCCTGGACCTGCCAAGTCCCAGGACACGAGCTGAGTCCTGCAGCCAGGCTGGAAGGGAGGGGGAGAGGAGAGGAGAGGGACTGGAGGAAGCTCCGCCGGGTTTTGAAAGCACCAGTGGGAAAAACGAACAAGAGAAACAGGAGGGTGGATGGAAAGGCTGGAAAGGAGCACCAGGACCTGGTTTCTCGTCCCTCTCCATGGCTGTGCTCTGTGCTGTTTGCAGACGTGCCCCCCCGGATCCTGGCCCCCCGCAACCAGCTCATCAGGGTCATCCAGAACAACCGCACCCGGCTCGACTGCCCCTTCTTCGGCTCCCCCATCCCCACCCTGCGATGGTAAGAGCTGCAGCACTGCCCCTGCCAGGCCGAGGGCTGGGGAGGGCAGGGGGGTTTCCTGCTCTTTCTTCCCTTACAACAGCACTTTGTGGTGTTGTGAGGTTTAAGAACGGCCAGGGGAACACGCTGGACGGAGGGAACTACAAGGCCCACGAGAACGGGAGCTTGGAGATGTTCATGGCTCGGAAGGAGGACCAGGGCATCTACACCTGCGTGGCCACCAACATCCTGGGCAAAGCAGAGGCCCAGGTTCGCCTGGAGGTCAAAGGTAGGGACGTGAAGGGCTCTGGGATCTTCTGGAACTTGCAGCAGAAATAACGATTTCGGGTCAGGGAGGTCGGTGGTGGTGCACCCAAGTCTGTCAGCAGGACAGGCACTGTGTGACTCAAAGCTGGAATCTGGAAAATGGTACAAATTCCTTTTTAGTGCTGGAAGAAAACAAGGCTGGGGATGTACTGGAGCTGCAGAAGGGCTGGGTGTGGGTTTTGGGAGATGCCATCAGCAGTGCAAACAGCAAAGCAAAGTGTTCCTCAGGGTTAACCGAGGACAGGAAAACATTTTCTGGATTGTTTCTGCCAGGGCTCTCCCTGTTCAGCAAATGTGACTGCTGACTCAGAAAACTGGGGGTTTTTTAGAGGTTCAGCGTGAATTAATGGCTTGGTGAATTAATTTAGTTGTATCCTAGGCCATTCATCCACCAAGCTGGACAAACACGTGTGTGTCCTTTCCAAGCAGCACCAACTCCCCACCGAGCTCCTGAGCCAAGAGCCAGGGATTTGGTGCCTGACACTTCCTTTCTGCCCCCGGGCAGACCCCACCAGGATTGTGAGAGGGCCCGAGGACCAGGTGGTGAAGAGGGGCTCCATGCCTCGCCTGCACTGCCGCGTCAAGCACGACCCCACGCTGAGGCTCACGGTCACCTGGCTCAAGGATGATGCCCCCCTGTACCTGGGAAGCAGGTCTGTGTTTCCAGAAGTTTCACGGATCTTCCCTCCCAGGATTGCTGGGAACATTTTTACAGACCATTTCAGGATAATGTGGATAAATACCCAGTTCCCATCTAGGCAGCGTTTGACGTTCTTGATACTTTTAATTTGCCAGCTCCTTCCAACAGACACTGCTCAGCAATGGCAGCTGATTTATCAGTAAATCAGGACCTTGCTGTAGGTTTTATTTACAGATATTTTAGGACATCTTGATAAAAGGGGTGAGTTAATAACAACCCGCCTCAAAATTAACGTTTATCTGCCGTGCCTGGGGCAGCTTTAATTTCCTTCCCATGGCTCACTCCCTCCTTGGGAAGGGAGATCTGATCCCGGGCCACCAGCCTGAGCTTGGCTGTTGTCCTGAAGGTGTGATTATTCCCCAGACACACTCCAGGGCACATCTGCTGATTCCTTAGGAAATGAGGTTTCCCAGAATAGCTCAACACTCCTCAGCTGATCAAACCCTCAGAGCAGAGCCGTCCTCCTGCTCTGGTCGGGCTCGGAGCCGTGTCCTGGCAGAGAACGCTCAGCCCTCGGTGCTGCTGCCTGGAACAGTCGTGTGGTTCTTGCTTTTCTTGAAGGATGAAGAAAGAAGACGATGGTCTGACGATATTTGGCGTGGCTGAGAGGGACCAGGGGGACTACACGTGCGTGGCCAGCACGGAGCTGGACAAGGACTCGGCCAAGGCCTATCTCACCGTGCTCGGTAAAGCTGCCCCGTTTTTAACAGGACAGACCCCCTTCGAGGTCAGGCTGAGAGGTCTCTGCTCACCAGGGTGTCCCCTGGGTGCTCAGGGAGGTGCTGGCAGGGCAGCAGTTCCCTCACAGGACTCGGCAAGGACACTCTGCCTCGTCCCGGGCGCCGGCGCTGAACTGGAGCCCAAAAAAAAACCCCTCGTGTTTGAGAGCGAAAAAATAGGAGAGTGGTTATTACACACGGCCAAAAATATCCCAGTGTGGATGTTGGAGCTCTGTGGGAACAGTCCTAAATTTGGAAGTGAATTTAAGGGGGTGTTGGGGTGCTGAGCAGTGGGGAGTTGGGGGTGACCCAGCTGGGGGGGATCCTGGCCCCGCGTGTCCCCTCGGCAGCACAGGCAGGGACAGACCTGAGCCCACTCCCCACCTGTGCTCGCTGTGAGCCCACTTGGAAAACACGGATTTATCATGCCCTGCTCTGGGCCACCTCAGATTCCCGGGAATGCCACGACCTGCCCGTGCCCTCCAAGAGCTGGAGTGCACCAGGAACCCCAGATCCCTGATAATTCCACTGGGCTTGATTTCCACCCCTTCCCGTCCCCCTAATAGCTCATTAACCCCACACCAGGCTGATGTTTCCCCTTTCCCGTGCGTTACAAACATGAACGGAGCTGTGAGGGCACGGCTGGAGGTGTCTGGGGGAAGGATGTCCCTGCTCTGCTCCCCACACAGGCTCGATTCCTTCCCAAACCCGTAACTGTGTGTGTGATTTCACATTTGCCAGGTGCTCCTTTGGCCACCCAAGCTTAATGACTAAACTAACCCGGTTAACAACCACTGTCTTACCTTGCAGCCGTCCCTGCTAACCGTGTGAGAGAGTTACCCAAAGGTAATCAGCACTAGTTTGTTGCCTTTGTTTTGTTTCCTGAGTTGATTTTGGTTTGCCTCGCCGGTAACTCCAGCAGGAAAGCGTCAGAGCTGACAAATCTGGGAGCTGATGCTTCCAAGTCCTCTCCGAGTTGTCCTTCAAAACCCAGCCAGATGGCCGTGGGTAGGAAGGTCCCTTGCCACGACATTTTGTGCCCCAAAGTGCCCCTTTGGGACGCTCTCCTGAGGGAAAGTGGAAAAAAAAAAAATCACTTTACCTGCGCTTGAAAATGCTGAGCCCTGACGGGAGAAAAAATTCACCTCGAATTTCTGAGCCCTTGACCTTTGCCTGGACAGAATTTATTCCTGTTATTGCACGAGCAGGTTCTTGTGAATGGATAAAGAAACCGGAGTTGTGTTCAGGGAATTTCCAACGAGTTTATGTTTTTGTTGAGGTTTTGTTTCCCTTCCACCCTATTTGTTTGTTTGCATTCCTGTTCCGGACAGCTCTGTGTAAGGTCAAACAACCCCCTGCTGAGCCACTCCCTGGTGCTTCCACCCCCAGTGGTGCAGGGACAGGGAGGGTTTAAAGGCAAGGAATAATTAGCACCGGTCCTGAGAGCTGCAGGATGGGATCAGTGCCCTGGAGCACGTGTGCCCCCCATGGGTCTGGGTGAAAAGCAATGGGAAAACTGGGAATCCCAGCTCCTGGGACAATCCCAGCCTCATTTGTGTCATTCCTGGGCTGACAGCACGGCCCGACCAGCCCCGTGACCTGGAGCTGACAGACCTGGCGGAGCGGAGCGTGCGGCTCACCTGGATCCCCGGGGACGACAACAACAGCCCCATCACAGGTCTGGCTGGTCCCACTGCCCCCTGTGAGCCCAGCCCTTCACCCAGCCCTTCACCCAGCCCTTCACCCAGCCCTTCACCCAGCCCTTCACTCAACCCTTCACCCAGCCCTTCACTCAACCCTTCACCCAGCCCTTCACTCAACCCTTCACCCAACCCTTCAACCAACCCTTTACCCAATCCTTCAACCAACCCTTTACCCAGCCCTTCACCCAACCCTTCACCCAGCCCTTCACCCAGCCCTTCACCCAGCCCTTCACCCAATTTTTCACCCAGCCCTTCACCCAATTCTTCACCCAGCCCTTCACCGAGCCCTCGGTGTGCTCTCCCCCCAGACTACATCGTGCAGTTCGAGGAGGATCGCTTCCAGCCGGGAATGTGGCACAACCACTCCAGGTACCCCGGGAGCGTCAACTCGGCCGTGCTGAGCCTGGCCCCGTACGTCAACTACCAGTTCCGGGTGATCGCCGTCAACGACGTGGGCAGCAGCGTGCCCAGCGTGCCCTCGGAGCGCTACCAGACCAACGGGGCACGTGAGTTACCCCCGGCCCACCCTGCCGGGCTGATCCACCCCAGGAGGGCTCCTCCCTCGTGGTGTGAGAGCCCACAAACCTTGTGGAGTGTGACCCCAGAAACCTTGTGGGGTGTGATCCCACAACTCTTGTGATGTGTGATCCCACAAACCTCGTGGTGTGTGATCCCACAAACCTCATGGTGTGTGACCCCACAAACCTCATGGTGTGTGATCCCACAAACCTCGTGGTGTGTGACCCCAGAAAACTCGGGGGGTGTGACCCCAGAAACCTCAGGGAGTGTGACCCCACAAACCTCACAGACTGTGACCCCACAAACCTCTTGGGGTGAGACCCCACAAACCTTGTGGTGTGAGACCCCACAAGCCTCGTAGTGCACATACCCAGAAACCTTGTGGTGTGTGACCCCACAGACCTCATGGTGTGTGACCCCACAAACCTCGTGGTGTGTGACCCCACAAACCTCATGGTGTGTGACCCCACAAACCTCGTGGTGCGTGACCCACAGACCTCATGGTGTGTGACCCCACAAACCTCGTGGTGCGTGACCCGAGGTTTAAGCTGGGCATTAGGAAGAGGTTCTTCACAGAGAGCACTGGAATGGGGTGCCCAGGGAGGTGGTGGAGTCACCGTCCCTGGAGGTGTTTAAGAGGAAACTGGACGTGGCACTCGGTGCCCTGGTCCGGGTGACAAGGTGCTGTTGGCTCAAAGGTTGGACTCCACGATCTCTGAGGTCCTTTCCAACTGTTCTGTGACGCCCAGGACTGAGCTGGGCTGGGATGTTCTGTCTCCAACCCTCCAGCCCGTGGCTGACGAGCTGCAGAGCAGCAGAGCTCAAGTGGAAACACTCACGCCAAGGTCACTCCAGTGGAACCTGCTGAAGGAAACCCCCGGTTTCAGCTTAAAGGGGAGCTTTCTAAAGAGAGTTTTTCATCCTTCCTGACCACAGGAAGCTCAGGAGTCTGTTGGAAAATGAGACTCAAGTGTAAACTAACCACCAGCAAAAGGCACTTTGTTCCGAGGTTGCTCATTCATTGTCAGAGCTGACCAGGAGCCCAGACTGGTGCTGGGAGGGTGGGCAGGCCCTGGCACAGGTTGCCCAGAGAAGCTGTGGCTGCCCCTGGATCCCTGGAAGCGTCCAAGGCCAGGTTGGAGCAACCTGGGACAGTGGAAGGTGTCCCTGCCCATGGCAAGGGGTGGCACTGGGTGATATTTAAGGTCCCTTCCCCCCAAACCATTCCATGCTGCAGATGTAACCCCGCTCCTGCCCACAGCCCAGACTCGGCTCTTCACTCTGCCTGCCCGGTGCTTTGTTGGACAACACACGGGAAAATTCCCACCGGGAATTCTCGGGAAGCTCAGGAGTTCTGCTGCATTTCTCCTTTCCCCCCCCATTGCCCAGCGATTCCTGCCGGATCTGCTGGCACCTAGTGTTGGCTCCCGACCTTGCTCGGGTTTCCAAGGGACGGGCTCTGCTCCTGGGGTTGCTGCTCAAACGGTGCCTTCCAAAGATTTGGGAACATTTTTGCGGGGGGGCAACCACACCCACCACCCAAAGAAAAAAAAAAAAGAAAAAGAAAAAGAGCCTCCTAAATAAATGGCCTGGTTTTTTCAAGAGTACTGAGAGCCTCATGTTCCATTAACCTGAATGGGAACTTCTGGAAAAATCAGGCCATTAACTTCTGCCTTGGAAGTGCTTCTGGCTCACACAGTTAAAGGGTTTTTAACCACTCGGAAAATCATTTTTTCAACGTTACAAAATGCCTAATTTTTTATTTTTTTTATTTTTTTACAATGTGAATCTCAGGTCCTGAAATCAACCCAACGGGAGTTCAGGGTGCAGGGACCCAAAAAAACAACATGGAGATCACCTGGACGGTGAGTTCCCTGATGCCTTCTGGGCCTGGAGTGATGGGATGAGGGGAAACGGCTTCAAAGGGGCAGAGGGCAGGGATAGATGGGATATTGGGAAAAAATTCCTCCCTGGGAGGGTGGTGGGGCCCTGGCACAGGTTGCCCAGAGAAGCTGTGGCTGCCCCATCCCTGGAAGTGTCCAAGGCCAGGTTGGATAAACTTGGAGCAACCTGGGCTAGTGGAAGGTGTCCCTGCCCATGGCAGGGGGTGGGATGGGAAGATATTTAAGTCCCTCCCCAACCCAGGCCAGTCTCTGATGATTCTGTGATGAAATAAAAAGCAGAGGACACTAGAGAGGCCGTTGTTAGTGCCTAGAAGAAGGTTTGTGATTAAAAAAAAAAATCATTTTCAATGATGTAAATCAAACAAAACGTGGTGAATAACAGAGAAGTCAGGGAAGATCATCCAAGAGACAGGTTCTCAGTAGTACAGAGGATTTACAGAGCAGCTCTTGCTTTGCTTCGTGCACCACCAGGTGTCATCCACAAACAAGCCATGAGCTGTGAGGAGGCTTGACATCGCAGTGGGAATACAGGCTGGAATACAAGGATAATATATATGGAATATATTCTGTATCATCCACACATTTGATTTATTATATAGAATATATGTGTAAGCAACCTGAGCTAGTGGAAGGTGTCCCTGCCCATGGCAGGGGGTTGGAATGAGACAAGATTAACGTCCCTTCCAACCCAAACCATTCCAGGATTTTATGGTTCTAGGAGTGTAAGGTTCTGGAGGGCAAGAACCAGGTACGTTCTTGTTCCCACTCCCTTTTGGGAACAGAGATTTGAGATTTGATGATGGACCCCGAAACCAGCCCCAGCTGCCCCCGGGAACCTTTGGGGGCTCCTTGCAGAGCAACACGGGCTGTTTTTCTCCCTCTCACTTCCTCTCTCTGTTCCGGTCCATGAAGCCCCTGAATGCAACTCAAGCTTATGGGCCCAACCTCAGGTACATCGTGCGCTGGCGGCGCCGGGACCCGCGGGGCAGTTGGTCCAACGAGACGGTGAAGGGCCCCCGGCACGTGGTGTGGAACACCCCCATCTACGTCCCCTACGAGATCAAGGTGCAGGCGGAGAACGACTTCGGCAGAGCCCCCGAGCCCGACACCTACATCGGCTACTCCGGGGAGGACTGTGAGTACCCACCCGGCAGGAGCCCAGGGCAGGGCCTGGTGGTGTGCCCCCCGTGCCCGGGGCTTGATTTGGCACAAAAATCCACTCCCGGCTCGGACGGGGCTTGGAGCGACCTGGGATAGCGGAACTGGGATGAGCTTCAGCGTCCCTTCCGACCCAAAGCATCCCACGGTTCCATGACTTGGCCGCTGGCTCCTGTTCTGGGCTCTGCCTGCACGACCCAAGTCACCCACCCCGCTTCCTTTGCTCTCTGCGACACCCAGGCAGCGCTTTGAGGCTGGAAAACCACGGGATTCCCCTCGGGATGAGCTCTGGCTGCGTCCCAATAAGTGGCATTAACATTTTGTGCCCCCCCCGACACGCACCGAGCGCCGAGTTCATCTCAGAGGAGAGGTTTTATGAATGGCCAGAAGGTCCTTAGTTCACCCTGCACTGGATTCTTGTGCCTCTCTGATAAAGCCTCAGCTAAGCCCCAGCCTGGGCTCCTGTTTGCAACACGTTGGCTCAGCTTATCTTCCTTTAAACCTCTCCCCTGGTCACGCAGAACAGCTCGTTTAATTCTCTTTTTCTGGGCTGCTGGGTATCACCTCCTCTGCTTGCAGCACCCGAGACTCTCAACCACGATTATCCTCATCCTGCTGGGATAATGTGGTTTGCTGCCAACTGCTTTATCTTTGGAGAAATATATATTAGTTTGTGGTTTGTGGTCCCTGGCTGTGGGAACATCGGGATTACTGAGAAGGAAGGGGGATAAATCAGGTGAGAACCCACGACCCCAGGCTTGAAGTCAAGGGGCACAAACAGGGCACAGAAATCCGAATTAAAGCTGCAGTTTTGGGGCTGTGATGGCACAGACAACACATCCTCCAGCTGGGCACCTCCTGGAGGAAACAGGGCAAGGGGAAGGAAAACGGGTAGAAAATGTGGGAATCAGGGTATGGAAGCAAAGCTGGACCCAGCTGAGAGGTCATTACTGGGAAAGCTCTGCGAGCTCCTGGCTGCACCACCATCTCTGGGCACTTACAAGGGTGGGGTTTTTTTCTAGTTTCTCTTGAAAATCTGTGCCATAATTATGAGTTTTGGGAGGATCTGAAAAAGCCACCACGTGTGTGTGTGTTATATGGAGGCAAACCAGGGAGACCAAAGCTCCTGTATCACAGCTCAGGCACAGATATGCTCTGCCTGTGCCTGAGGGGTGGGACAGGTTAGAAAAACACAAAAAACCCTCGAAAAATAGCCTCTGACATGTCTGAGCTGCTTCACAAATAACTGCAGATTCCTACACGCAGCAGGTGAGCTGTGAACAGGGGGTAAAGCCCCAAGTGGATCAACAGCAGGTTCTGGGCAAATTCAGATTAATGGCTGTGGAAATGAGGTAGTTTGGGAACCATGGGGTCTGACAGTGGCCAAGGTGAGGCAGGAGGGGATGGATGTGCTGGATCCTTCACTGGGAGAGGGAGGGAGGGGAGCCAGACCCCTTCCTTGCAGCAGGAAACCCTGCTGGGAACTGGATCATGAGGGTTGATGAGTGACCCAGGACTCGTTTTCTTCCCCCTTCCCGTGGAAGGAGGCAGAGCAGTCGTGGGGCTGCTGCTCCCCCAGCAGTGCTGTGATGGGACCCCCCCAGGGCCAGGGCAGAGGGGTGTCCGTGTGTCCGTGTGTCTGACCCTGCTGGGGGGCCCCAATGCCCACTGGGCTCCATCCCACTGTGCTCTATCCCTGCCCGCCCAGATCCCAAGGCTGCGCCCACGGACGTTAGGATTAGAGTCCTAAACAGCACTGCCGTGGCTCTGACCTGGACCAGAGTGCACCTGGACACCATCCAGGGACAGCTCAAGGAGTACAGAGTGAGCAGCCCCAAACCTCTCGGGCACTGACTGTTAACACCTCTAATCAGCTCACAGAATTCCCGGCTGGCTCCAGCGGGATGGGGATGGGGATGGGGATGAGAGGGAACCCTCCTGGCCACCTGGACCCCTGGGCTGCTCTGGGTGCAGAGCACAGGGGCTGAGCTCTGCTCTGGGGCAGCGAGGAAGGGTTGGCTTGGTCTCTGTGGGGTCAGGGACATCTCCTGTTGGCTCCCCCAGGGCTGGGATGGCCCTTCCTGGAGCCTCCCTGCAGGATCTGGGGGGCTCAGAGCAAACAGGGCTGTCCTTGTGCACCCCCAGAGGGGCTGGGGGGGTCCTACCCCTGCAGGAAGGTGGCTCTGGGGGGAGTGACCTCAAACAGGGTCGGTTTTGTGTCATCCCCAAAGTTCCCACGTGGGATTTTAATGAACCCCAGCCCTGCCAAGCCCAAGCCCCGTGGGTTGCACTGACTGGTCACTACAGGCAGCCTGGATCCTGCTGTGCTTTGGGGTTTTCTGCTAATATTTGCTATTTGCTGCTGGGGTAAACTACTAATGTCTATGTACAGAGGATGGACCCTGTTCCAAACAAGCAAAAGTCTGAGCAGGGCCCTCCTCTCAGCCTTTCAGACCAAAACCACGTGCCCTGCAAACAGTTCCAGCCCCTCAAATCCAATAATCCGCTGGGCTCTGCTCTCCTGGTTCTGCCTCTGCTCTTCTTCTGGTCCGTTTTCTCAATGAATCTTATTTCTGCACGAAATAAGATTTGCAGGCAGGGCTTTGAATGGGAGACTTTCCAAAATCCAGGCTTTCCTTTGTGCCTGGCCGTGTCCCACCTTTCCTCGGGTGGAAAGGGAGAATCACTCGATGTTCAGCTCTTGGGAACCAGAGGCAGCTTTTAGTCTGAGCTTGGTGGTTTTGCTCTGTGCCCTTTGGCAAGCACTTAACCCTCTTCCTCGGGTAACACCCCTGACCTGGTGGGTCAGGGTGGAGCTGGTGGGACCTGGAGCTTCACTAATTGCTCTAAAAGCTGCTCTTTGCAAAGTTCTGCTCTTGGTTTATACATAGGTATTTTTTTTCCTAAAAAAAAATTGCATTTCCACGGGAAAAGCTTCACTTGCCATGCCTGTTTCTTGAAGGCCTATTTCTGGAGAGACAGTAGCTTGCTGAAGAACCTGTGGGTCTCCAAAAAACGGCAGTTTGTGAGTTTTCCTGGAGACAGAAACCGGGGCATAGTGTCCAGGCTGTTCCCTTACAGCAACTACAAACTTGAGATGGTTGTGACCAACGGCCGAGGAGATGGGCCCCGCAGTGAGGTGAAGGAATTCCCCACTCCTGAAGGAGGTACGTTCCCAGGGGGGCTGGGAATGTCCCTGTCCCTCCATCCCGACGGGAAAGGTTTGGGCGGAGAGGCCGATTTTAGGGACCGGCTGAGCAGAACCAGCCCGAAATTTTAGCACAGGAAACACCCAGGGAATGGATTAGCCCGGAATTTTAGCACAGAAAAAAAAAAAAAAAAGTCAGGAAAGAAAATTAGCCCGGAATTTTAGCACAGAAAAATGCAGGAGAGAAAATTAGCCCGGAATTTTAGTGCAGAAAAAAACCCAGGAAAGAAAATTAGCCCAGAATTTTAGCACAGAAAAAAACCAGGAAAGAAAATTAGCCCAGAATTTTAGCACAGAAAAATGCAGGAAAGAAAATTAGCCCGGAATTTTAGCACAGAAAAAAATCCAGGAAAGAAAATTAGCCTGGAATTTTAGCACAGAAAAAAGCCAGGAAGGAAAATTAGCACAGAATTTTAGCACAGAAAAAAGCCAGGAAAGAAAATTAGCCCAGAATTTTAGCACAGAAAAAAGCCAGGAAAGAAAATTAGCCCAGAATTTTAGCACAGAAAAAACCCAGGAAGGAAAATTAGCACAGAATTTTAGCACAGAAAAAAGCCAGGAAGGAAAATTAGCACAGAATTTTAGCACAGAAAAAATCCAGGAAAGAAAATTAGCCCGGAATTTTAGCACAGAAAAATGCAGGAAAGAAAATTAGCACGGAATTTTAGCACAGAAAAAAATCCAGGAAAGAAAATTAGCCTGGAATTTTAGCACGGAGGAAACCCAGAAAAGAGAATTAGCACTGACTGGATTCCTCCTGCTCTGGAAAAGGCAGGAAAATCCGCCCCAGCCCCGAGTCCTTTTGCTGTGGAAGGACATCAGCAGCCCCTCTGTCGGGTCCCCAGGCAGGAGCTCCTCGTTGCTGTTTGAGGAGCTCGTGGCAAGGATGAACTTGGGGTTTTAATTTCCCTGCTGCCTATTGATAGCCCCAGGGAGGAGCTGGAGCTGCACTTCCAGTGCCTGGCACTGACTCTTCCCACAGCACAAGGGAGGGTTTGGCACAGGATGCTCCAAAAACACAAGGGGAGGATTTGCCAGGGGCAAATCTCGTCTCAAAATCCAGCGGGATCTTCCTCTTTGCCTTCCTCTTCCTCCTGCCCCTGCTGCACAGGAGCAGCAGCTCTCAGCCCTGCCTCTGCCTCCCGATTTTCTGGGATGCTGTCACCGCTTCCTAAGGATTTTCTGTTGATCAGCCATAATTCAGATTGTTTTAAGAGGAAGGACTGTAGGTTTTTGTAGTTCCTGTAGGTTTTGCAGCGAAGTGCTTTGTGAGAGGTGATTATCTGTGTGCTGGAGGCACAAGGATTTGGGGTGGCTGTAGATATTTGGGGTGGCTACAGCCATTTGGGGTGACTATAGGCATTTGGGGTGGCTGTAAGGATACATGGGTGGCATTAATTGAAACAATTACAGCAGATTATACCCCTGTCACGAGGAAAACGTTGATTTTGTGTTTTTCCCATACCACTAAGCTATTTTATTGACTACATATTGACATTTAGGAGACTGGATGACACTCTGCACAACAGGCTGGTTAAAAATAAACACACCCCTGATCTCCCAGATCAGCAAGCCAAGCTCTTTCCCCAGTTAAGGCACCGCAATTATGAGTCAACCAGGAGAATAATTTAATTCAGGGCTGTGTAATTCTTTCCTTCCTTTACTGGCTTTGAACCAGCAGTGATAACCCAGGGTAAGGACACTGCAGACACGCAGATCTCCAGACACTGAGACCACACTTGGTGATAAGAGAAGCTGCTGTCCTGCTTTTTGTGGCTTGGAGGGAGAAAGCGAGGAGATGAAAACCTCGGGGTGGGTGGGGGATGCAAAAAAAAGTCTGTTTACAACAGAGAGAAGCGGGGATTGAAGTGAGTCCCAGCTCTGCTTCAGCTGCAGCACCTTCTGTGGCCTCACTGGGGGGTTCCCAGCACGGCACAGGCACTTTGGGATGGGTTTGCATGCAGAGCTGCTCTGCTTTCTGCTCCTGCACACCCCAGCTGCTGCTGGCACTTGGTTTCTGGCACTTGGTTTCTGGCAGAGATCCTCGTTCAGGCCGTTCTGCCCTTTGCTGTGTGGCTGTGTGGCTGTTTTGGAGTGGCCCGAGCGTGTGGGTCGGCCCGTGGCGTGTTCAGCAGTGGAAGGTGTGTTATCTCGTATGTTTTCTCTTCTCTCCCTCTCCTCCCTGCTCCCTCCTCTCCCAAGTGCCCAGCTCCCCCAGGTACCTGAGAATCCGACAGCCCAACCTGGAAATCATCAATCTGGAGTGGGATCACCCCGAGCATCCCAATGGAGTCCTCACAGGATACAGCCTTAGATACCAACCCTGTACGTTCCACCTTCTCCTCTGGGTGATAATCCTTTAGTAACTGCTGGCTCCCTCCTCCCCCAGCCCAGGGATCTCTCCATGAGGAGCTGGAGAGTTCCATGATGAGCCAGGCTGGTGTTGAGAGGGGTCCTGGCACAGTGGAGTTAGCCAGGGAGGGGGGGGCGTGCCCAGCAGTTCCCCAGCCTCGGCTGTTGAAGGGAAATAAGTTTGATCTGAGTTTTAAGCTCAGTCCCAGCAGTTCCTGTGCTCTCTCAAACACAAGCTCCTGCCCAGAGCCCACACGATGCCTGGGGCAGCAGAGCCTTCCCTGACCACCTGGATGTCCCCACCAGAGTGTCCCCAAGTGCCCCAAACGAAGAGTCTTTACCAGCAGCAGCAGCTCCGAGCACGAGGCCCCGCAGTGAGGCTGGAGGAGCTGGAGGGCACCTGAACCTGCACCCACCACCCCCTGGCTTTCCTCCCCAGTTAACGGGACCAAAACGGGCCGAACCGTGGTGGAGAACTTCTCCCCCAACCAGACCAGGTTCACCCTGCAGAGGACAGACCCCATCTCCCGCTACCGCTTCGTGCTGCGCGCCCGCACCCAGGTGGGAGAAGGAGAGCCCGTAGTGGAGGAGTCCCCAGCCCTGCTGGACGAAGGTATGTGCAGCAGCAACAGCTCCTGGCTCTGCCCAGGGCCTGGGGGGGTGATGGGACACGGGGATGAGCCAAAAAGTGCGGGTCAGAGGAGCAGGAGGAGCGCAGAGACAGCACAGTGAGACAGCACAGTGAGACAGCACAGCCACTCTGCTGCAGGGACCAAGGGACTGGTCAGGACCAAAGTGCTGCAGCAGAAACACTACAGAGGGGACTGAGAGACTGTCCTGGGCTCCAGGGAGCCACCTCACAAGCAGTGAGGGTTCCTCACGTGCCCTGGAGAGCAGGAGGGCACTGTGGGGTTGTGCTGCCAGAGGGCAGGGTTAGATCAGATATTGGATTTTGAAGCCCTGGCACAGGGTGCCCAGAGAAGCTGTGGCTGCCCCATCCCTGGAAGTGTCCAAGGCCAGGTTGGACAGGGCTTGGAGCAACCTGGGCTAGTGGAAGGTGTCCCTGCCCACGGCAGGGGGTGGCACTGGGTGATCTTTAAGATCCCAACCAACCCAAACCTGCTGTGATCCTGTGACCTCGCTCTCCTCTCGCTGAAGGTGATTTCATTTGCCCCTCTGTTGTCTCAGTATGAGCTGAATAAGGGGCAGATGGGGGTGGCTTTTAGGTGGCTCAGAGGGGGTGAAGCAGCTGCCACCTCCCAGTCACCCCACTCAGGATGAATCCCCAACTCTCAGACTCATAATCAGATAAAATGCCCATGGTGGGACATCCATCAAACCAAGTGAAAGTTCAGGAGCCCTGAGGGAACGTGGGGAGACAGAAGGCGGCTCTTTCCTCTCTTTATCCTCCTCTAACAGACCCTTGATTGGGTTAGTGCTCTGATTTAATGGGGGCTTTGTCTCCTTCCCTCCATCTCCCCCTCCCCAGCTAATGGCTCTGAGTAGGAAAAGTAATTCCTGCCATGACCCAGTGGAAATGAAATGCTTCCCAACACCTCTTAGGTGGGTTCCAGCGGCACTAATTGATGGGAGATGGGGCTGGGGGGGAAAACAGCAGCCAAGTTACACCCTGGCAGTCGTGAGAGGGGCTTTAAAGAGGAGCTTTGCTGAGCTGTTAGAGCACAGCAGTTGGATTGAGGGTGATGGGCAAGATTTTTAGTTGTTTCTCATGCATTTGCTCTCCTGGGTTTGTTTCTGTGCACTGGCATCGGCCACTGGTGGCAGTGAACAGTGAAATAACAGCCAGAACCAACTCCTGGCGTGGAAAACTTATTCTATTTGTCTCAGGAAATAGCAGGCAGTGCCCACACCCGTGTGCCAAGGCAAGGCACCCTCTCTGCAGGGTCTGGGGTGGCACCTGATGCTCCCCTGCTGGAAAGGACAAAGCATTGGCCAATCAAGCAGCAAGAAAAATTAAAGTAGTTTACAGTCAAGTTCCAGAAACTTTGGGGGCGAAGTTTGCCCCCCAAAACACGAGACCCTGAGGGACAACGTGACCTGGGTGAGTTTTGCTCGTGCCAGGCAGGTTGGGCACCACGAGCAGCTCCGAGTGCCCACCTTGATGGGAAGGTACCTGCTGCAAAAATGAGGTTGGGTTTGAAAGAAAATAAGCAGAATAAGAAAATTAAACCCATGAATGGGTTTTTTCTTGGGTAATTGCTTTCTGCTCACCAGACTCCTTCCCCGGGGAGGTTCAAACCAAACACCTGCAGGGGGCAGGACGAGATGTGAGTGATTCCAGGGGAAACCGGGGGAAATTCAGTGTCAAAACCGGGATTGGATCTAAGCAGCTGCTTAAGCACTTGGCTCAAAGACACCCCTGGCACCTCTGCTGAGGGGCTGGGGGGTGTTGGAGCTGGGGTGTGAGTACCTGGTGTGGTTTCTCCGCCGTGCCCGAGGGGCCAGCCCTGCTGTGCCAGGCTGGGCTCCCACTGCCTTCATTCCCTGTCTCCCAGCTCTCTCCTGACTGCATGTGAGTGGTCCCGAGTGTCCCCTGGGTGTGCTCTGGTTGTTTGACACGTTCCTGTGTTTTCTCTCCCCTTCTCTGCCGTGCTCTCTCCGTGCTCTCTCCGTCCCCCCCTCTCTGCCCCTGGCGCTGCCCTCGAAGCCACGCCAACCCCAGGTACCGGATTTGGAGGTAACAGGCATGGGGCAAAAAGGGGCTTTCTGGGCTGCCAATTAAAGCATGAGCTCCGTCAACCCTTTCAATGGCAAAGCCGAGCCTCAAGGAGGGGCCAAACTGGGCATTCAAAACCATGGCAGGTAAAAACAAAGCCCCCACGGGCAGCAGGGACGAGGGCAGGCTCCACAGCAGGGCCTGCAAAGATCAAAATCTTCCCTGAGTGGGGCTTAAAAAGCTCCCAGATGCCTAATGATGGCCAAAGCCACCACACCCTGCAGTGGCCACACACTGAACAAGCCCAAAGGAGAGCCGAGTTGCCCATTAAAGAGGGGTTTTTTCCCTATTAAAGAGGGGGTTTTTGCTCTATTAAAGAGATTTTTTTGCCTATTAAAGAGGGGGTTTTTGCTCTGTTAAAGAGGTTTTTTCCTCTGTTAAAGAGGAGCTTTTTCCCCTGGGGAAGAGGTTTTTAATCCCAGCTCTGCACAAAGCCCCTCTCCCTCTTTAAAGCCTCGCCATCCCCGCCCTGCAAAATGCAGAATATTTCCAGCCAGCCCTGACCTGTTGGTGCCAACCACAGCACCTCTGCCCTGCCCTGGGGGGTCTGAGCTGGATTTTTCCCCCCAGGAAGCTGCAGTGGTCAGCCCTGGCACATGGGGGGGGGGGTTTGGTGCACGGGCACCACTCAGCTCCCGTGGCTGTGCCAGGGCAGTGCCAGGGCAGTGCCAGGGCTGTGGGGCAGGAGCATCCCCTTGTTGCCAGGTGCCCATTGAAAGGGTTAAGGACACGTTTGTGCCACAGCTGTGCATGTTCTGCATGGGGGCTGTTGCTGGCTTGGCCCTGGGGGCTCTCCCTGCAGCAGCAAAGCAGGGATGAGCCTCTTCCAGCCCCGGGGGCAGCACCTCCTCCCACTTCCATGGAAAACCAGCCCCCCAGGACCGCCCTGCAAGGCCCAGAGCACAACTTCTGCTTCCCAGGGAAGGATTCCCACCCCTGACAGACGTGACTTCCCCCTCCCAGCACAGCTCTGAGCCCTGTGCCAGCTCAGAAGGGGGGGCAGTGGCAGAGCCAGGGGGTGCAGCCACCCCAAAACCCACCCCCCGAACGCTGTGGGGCAGCTTTGGGGGTGAGTGGAGCAGCAGCACTTCGTCCCCCAGAGCTCCTGCTTTGCCCTGGGGCTGCCCAAGGAGGAACAGCTTCCCAGGGAAGGCTCTTCCCGAGGGATACAAGTGCAGGACCTGCTCTCTGCACCTGTAGGTTTTGCTTTCCTGCCTCGGAGATGGTTCCCCTCCTTTGGTTTGGTTGCAGTGGTGTCTCTACCCTGTGTTATTTTGCATTTTTTTTTTTCCTTTCTGAACAGAGGCCAATCTTTTCCTCTTTTCCTCTTCTGTCTTTTCCTCTTCTCTTCCCCACCCCAAAAAAAGAAAGAAAAGGGGGTAACAGATTGGTCTGCTTTGGGTGGTGGAGACCTGAAAAGGGACATATTTTGGCTTAGAGGATCTCCATCCTCCAAGTCCTGGAGGGCTGTGCTGCTGCTACAGCTCCTCCTCCACCCAGGGTTTAGCTCATCCACAAGAATCCGGATTTTCTTCGTGGATCAGGATCACCCAAAGTCCTTTTCTACCTGCAGTGGATGTTGCTGAACTTCGACAGCACGACCTGACCTCTTTATCCCTCCAGCATCGTTTCACTTCAGGCTTCCTTTCTTACCCCAGCAGATGAATTAGCTGCCATTTAAAGGGTGACTCTCCAAGCACAGAGCCCTTCCCTCTGTTTTTCACCTTCCAAGAGAGGAAACAGTGAATTGGAGAGCTGGGCCAGGGCTGAGAGGAGCCTGAGATGAGGCAGTGGAGCAGGAGGTCACCCAGAGCTGCCTCAGCTCCCTCCCAGCATCCCCAGCAAGGGCAGTCAGGGCAGAATCAGCCCCGGGAAGATCCATCTCCCATCCCCATCCTGCTCTTTTGCTGGATGTCATTTCTCCTCAGGCCTCAGTGTTACACAGTCTGAGCAGGGTTTGGCTCCAGAGGCTGTTTCTCTTCCTAACAAGTCCTGGTTCCACTGAAATGCTGCTTGACCTCTCCCAGCTCCGCTCACTGACCTACATTGGGGGGATTTTTACGGATCCACGGTGAAAGTTGCCTTAAATTGCAGTAAAACGCTCTTTGCCACGGGCTGCTGGCACTGAGAGGGAATTAAAAGGTCTTTTTTTGCAGGGGTAACCTCAGCCAGGCAGGGGCAGGGCTGGGCTGTGTGGGCAGGAGGAACTGGACCAGGCTGATGAAATCAAAGTGAAGTGCAGGGACTTTCCCTTAGGAAAGGCTTTATCTTTCCTAAGCCAGACCTGGATAACAGGAGAGGTGATCTGGGAAAAGAGAAGACATTTTGTTTATGCTCTGAGTGAGAAAAAAAATCAAAACTGGATCCTCTCCCACCCCTGTGTGTGTGTGGAAAAACATCATCAGGGACCATAGAGAGTATTGGTTTTAGACTTGAAGGGAAAAAAATGACTTTTCTCTGTTCTCTTCGTGTTGTTCCATAATTAGGAATTGGAGGAGAAAGATCCTATTGTTCATTTTAGGAACAGAGAGAACTGCTGACCCCTCTCTTTTGGAGGCTGCTCAATCACCCCTTTCTATTCTCGAATCTCTTATCTTTCCACATCAGACTTGCAGCACTTTCATGGTAAAGACTTTACAATTTCCTCCCGTTGTCACAAAGTGAGAGGGCGAGAGGAAAAAACAAATCACTGAGAACACATTTGCCCAATCGTCAAAAATCATGAAAAATTAATCCAATTTCCCCAAGCCTAATTATTTTGCAGACACACCCAAGGGAAAGCTGTTACTCCAGCCCTAACAACACATTAAAAAGCACTTTAAATAATTAAAGAGTGGCATAGACGGGGATTGTTTCCTGCATTTTGCAAAAATAAATGCAGCTACTCCCTGAATTTGCACTACTCAGAGCAGGACTTGAGTCCTCCCTGTAGAACCTCCCTCTTTAAATATCCTCTTTTGCTGTTATGATTCTTCCTCTCTGTTGTTTGTTTGTTTGTTTGTTTTCTGATCTGAGCTTCAAACGGGGTTTTTTGTGCGAGGTTTGGGCTCCTTTTTCCTGGTCCAGTCACAGGAGCAAAGCAGCAGCACTGAAACTATTAATTGCTGCATCCCCAGCCCCTCATCAGAGCCCATCTCCCCCCGTCCTGCGAGGAAATAATGATGCTTCTTGCAGACAACCCGAGGAAATAATGATGCTTCTTGCAGACAACCCGGCAAAGAGGGGCAGTTAATGAGCAAAGAGAGGCAGTTAATGAGCTGAGTGATCGTTTAGGAGCTTCCAGGAAGGTGGGAGCAGGGGCTGGGAGTGGCTGTTGCTGGTTTTTACTCCGAGTTTCCTGCGGGATAAACCTGCTCCAAGGACTGGTTTTTAGGGGGTTGCTCTGCCCCGGCATGGGGGGAGTGGAGGCTCCTTCCCTTCTTTCAGCGAGCGGGGATTTGTTCCCCATCCCACGAATTCCAGATCCTGCTCCTGAACTTGGAGGCAGCTGCTGTCGGAGCTGTGAGAGCTCAGGAGAACATTTCCAGCCGCTCTGCAAAGCCCAGGAAGGTCCTGCCCGCTGAGGGACCCCCGGCTTTGGGAGGACGGGGGTGACCTCCAGGCTTCCAAAGGGAGCCGTGCTGGGAACACCCGCCTGAGTCTCCATCTGCCCCTTGGAGCAGGGCTGTGGCACTCCCCTGAGCTGGGCAGGGGCTGGGGGGCTCAGGAGCCCCAGGGAAGGGGCTCTCCCCGTGCTCAGGTGCCCTTTTCTTCGGGAGACTCCGGGATCTCTCTGATCTCTGTCCCAGCCCGCCTTGATCCCCCCCTGCTCCAAGAGCAGCTCTCAGTAGGGGATGGATTTCAAAGCCCAGCAAATGCCCCTCATCTTGTCTCTGCCCCCAATCTCCCAGCTGAGCTTTTCTCCCGCACACATTTCATATTCCAGCGTTAATGAGGCCGTAGCTTTGCATCCCGGGGCAGCTCAGGACTAAATCCCCCCCAACCAGGGGAGCCCTGCTCGGCTCTGCCCTCCCTCCCATCCTCCCCTCTCTGAGCTGCTGCTTCCCAGCTCCCCCAGTCCCCCTCTTCACCTGCTCCTAGTCCTGCCAAGATGATTTTTATGCCCGGTGCCAACTCCCCCTCCCGGGTCTGGCTCAGGGGCTGGGCCCTCGTTATCCTGATGGAATGTGATAGCTCTGCTCCCGGGGATCGCCTCCCCCAGAGCTGCTGCAGGGCTGGGGGGCAAATCCTGCCCGGGATCACTGTCAGCTCAGCCTGCTGCTGAATCCAGGGGGGTCCTGGTGCTGAATCCAGGGGGGTCCTGGTGCTGAATCCAGGGGGGTCCTGGTGCTGAATCCAGGGGGGTCCTGGTGCTGAATCCAGGGGGGTCCTGGTGCTGCAGCTCCCCCTGCGTGTGTTGGGGGCTGCAGGGAACACACAGAGATGATCCCCTGCATCGGGCATAGCGAGGCTTGGATTTATCCCAGATAATCCGTTCCCATCTAAGGCCTAGGGGAGCATTAAAGCTGAATCTCTCCCTCTGCCAAAGCCATTCCAGCAGTGCTGGGCAAAGCAGAGGGGCCTGGAAGGTGCTGAGCAGGAGAGGTTTGATGGTGCAGAGACTGGGAGCTGGGAGGTTGTACCAGGCTTTCCACCAGCTCCTGCCTTTCAGAAAGTTACTTTCTGCCTTTTTGAGTCTTATTTTCCTCCGAGGGGAGCCAGGGGCTCACGGGGGAGTGCTGAGACTGCATTAGCTGATAACCAGTGTCTCCAGTGCTGTTTGATTGTGTCCAGGGCCAAGCCATCGAGGAGCTGCAGCTCCATCACGTTAATGGGGACATTAACCCAGTGACACCAATCTCTTAACCCCCCAAAAACCCGCTGTGAATCACCAGAGATGGATGTTGGCACTTCCCAACCCAAGGAAGGATTTGTAGCGTGGCCTCAGAGCAGCAAAGTCCTTCACGGGCGAGGGAGGGGAAAAGAAAACCCAGAGCAGCAAAACCCCAACCCCCCTTTTCGCTGCCCCACGAACTCCCAAGGACAAAGCTGTGCCCTGTCCCAGCCAGGCTGGGTCCCCTCCCCATCCCCACCACCTCCCCTGGGCTGGGGCAGTGATGGGCTGTGCACGGGGGGGCTTTTTTGGGGGGCTGCATGAGGCTGTCGGGGATGCTGCGGGTACCACCCGGAGAGGATGCTGGGCTGGGGGTTTGGGGGTGACTGTGGCTGCTCTTGGTGCACCCCTGGGGCTGGGCTGGGGGTTTGGGGGCACTGTGGCTGCTCTTGGTGCACCCCTGGGGCTGGGCTGGGGGTTTGGGGTGACTGTGGCTGCTCTTGGTGCACCCCTGGGGCTGGGCTGGGGGTTTGGGGTGACTGTGGCTGTTCTTGGTGCACCCCTGGGGCTGGGCTGGGGGTTTTGGGGGTGACTGTGGCTGCTCTGGGGGTTTGGGATGTGCTGTAACTGTGGTTCTATTGCAGCTGGGGGCGGTGGGGAGATGGACTGAGCGACCTCCTGCTCTTCTCTGCTTTTGGATCCCTGGCAGGGCTGAGGTTTTAGGGGTTGGGTCTCCTTGGGGGTTGGACTTGGTGAGAAAGAAAGCCCCGGCTTGGTGCTGGGACTCCTTTTCAAGTGTTTTCCTAGAGCTGTTCTTGTCTGTGGGTGATTTTTATCGTGGCTGGTTTCATTTGCCTGAAAGAGGGATTTGTAATCCCTTGATCCACAGGAAGACTAAGTAAATATAATTTACTGTGAGCATCCCAGGGCGAATCTCCTCTCAGTTACCTTTGGTATTTGAAGCAGCATTTCAGCTGCATTTTCCACTGGCAGGTTTGCAGGCCCAAGGCAATGCCCTCCCCTTCAGTGGGACCCTCACCCACACTCTGGGGTGGGGGTGGAAAGGGCACATTTCCCCCTTCCCGTGGAAACACAGCCCAGGTGAGACGTGGACACGGGAGCCATTTAGCAAACAAATTGCTCAGACTTTCCCCCTGGACACCTTGGGGTGTAGCAACCCCCGGGTCTTAATTTAAATGTAAATTTTGAGGGGCAGTGATGGCAAAGCACCATCCATCACTCGCCCACGAGCTAAAATCCACCTTAATGCTGAAGCTGCTCCATCACCAGCAGCATTAGCACAGAGACCAGCCAGGCTGGAAGGAGCTGGGAGGCTGCAGGCTGAGTTGGCAGCTCAGAAATGCTGGAGGTGTAGTCCAGGGGCAGCTGAATTAATGTAATTGCAGCTTGCCTGGCCCACGACAAATGGGATTAGTGTGTTTTCTTAAGAGCTAAATCCCATTTCATTTTTCAGGGAGCTCAAAGTGCTCCCAGCACAGCTCTGTGCAGGGGGATGGATGGTGGCTTTGGGGACAGTCTGTGCAGCCCCAAACCCCCCCAGCTCTGGGCAGGGGGATGGATGGTGGCTTTGGGGACAGTCTGTGCAGCCCCAAACCCCCCCAGCTCTGGGCAGGGGGATGGATGGTGGCTTTGGGGACAGTCTGTGCAGCCCCAAATCCCCCCAGCTCCCTCCTGCTGGACGGGTTTTAGCCCGGGGTGGGGAGGGACCCCGGGGCAGAGCCGAGGCAGAGCAGGAGCAGGTCGTTCAGCCCTGGGCTGGGGATCACCCTGGGGGCACAGGAGGGTGTTTCTGGGGGTCTCTCCCCCTTTGCTGCCCCCTCCTCACCCCCAGTGCCTCTCCCAGCCCCCGGACGGGTGCACGAGGGGGGACGAGCTCTCCAGCCTCGTGTTCCCGGTGGGATTCGCCGCCTCCCTCCCATCCCGCCCGTGCTGTGCTCCCCTCCCCTCTCGTGCCTGCCCTGGCAGTGTGGGGGAGGACAGGGGCAGCCCCCCCCCTCCCCAGGAGACCTCCCGAGCCGGTGTTTCCCTCTCCCAGCCGCCACTGGGACGCCTCCGGTGGAGCAAAGCAGCCCTACAGCCACCCCAACCACCGCCACAGCAACCACCCCAGCAACCACCCCAACCACTCCTGACACAACAACAGCCGCCACAGCTCCAACCACAGCTCCAACCACAGCTCCAACCACAGCTCCAACCACAGCTCCAACCACAGCCACCACCACAACCAGCAGCACCACGGCCGCCGAGAGGGCTCCGGCTGCCACCACAAAGCAGGAGTTGGGTACTGAGCTTTTCCTTTTTTTTTTTTTTTCCTCTCGTGGGGAAATATCCCCCTCTTTTCAAAAAAAAAAAAAAAAAATGTAGAAAGAGCGGCGCAAACTCAGGGAAGGGAGAAAGGAGGAAGGATTTATTCGGGTCTTTCCCGGGGGGAAAAAAGACCCTTCGGGGTTAGGTCTTAATAGATTTTAATGTATTAAGGGTATGGCTTAAATAACAATTCACAGTGAGCCTCTGCCACCAAAATCCCACCCCCCCAAAATATATTTTTTTCAGATCAGTTTAATGTATTTGTTTTTACCTAAAAAGGTTTCTTTTCTCTGAAAAGGGGCTTTCCCTTTATTCTGATCCACTGCAAGACATCCCCTGCCAAAGATGAGGGACCTCCCTTGTCCTTAGCCCAAAGAGAGAAAAGAAAATCAAAATGGCCCCAAGAGATTTTAATTTTTAATTTCGTATTTGATTTTAAAAAATTTTTAAAAACTTTGTATTTTAATTTTTAATTTAATTTTGTATTTCCCTTATCCGGCCGAAAAAGACCCTGATACTCAAGTCCAGTTTTTGGAACTTGGATGTCTCACAACTTCGTGATACACCTATATAAAAAAAAAACCCTATTTTAATTTCTCATACTCTTAACCCCTCAAACCCTGCTGGCACCTTCCCCAGAGCCCGCCCAGGATGGGCACAGGGCAGATTTAAGGCATCCCACGCTCCGGGAGTGGCTTTGGGAGGAGCTGGAGGTGCCCCAGGCTCGGGAATCCCGGGGGCACAAGTGGCTCCTGTTCCTTCAGTGCCACCCTCCTGGTCTCACTGTCGGGGGTGACACAGCCCTGCCTGGGCTGTGGTGATGCAGCAGGGTTTGGGGAGGAGGTGGCAAACCCCACAAAGGGCTCTCCAGAGTGTTCTCCTGGCTCTCAGGGCCGCTCAGAAGGGGTCCTGCTGCTGCTGGAGAAAGGTGTCACTTCAGATTTAGCACATCAGCCGCCGGCTGAGAGACCTGTCAGCACTTATAGGAGTCTCTGGGCTTGTGCTCCTGCTCTCTGGGGTTGCCACAGCCCACGGGAGAGCTGGGCAGGGGGGGGGTTACAGCACGGGGGGGTGAGCCAGGGGTTTGCCAGGTCGGGATGAACCTCCCGGGCAATCAGCTGGGACAGGGGGATCAGCCTCTGGTTTGGTGGAGGAATATTCCCAACTCTGTGTGGTTTTTAGGGATGTATCTCCCCGAGCCTTGTTTTTAAAGCACTGCTGTGATGGGGTCTGCAGTTAATAAGTAATTATGGACAGTTATATTCACTTAAAAAGTGAGTCAAGCCAGGAATGCAAACAAAATCTAAAGGTTGGACGGGGCTGGGAGCAACCTGTTCTAGTGGAAGGTGTCCCTGCCCAAGGCAGGGGGTGAAATGAGATGAACTTTAAGGTCCCTTCAACCCAAACCATTCTGGGGTGATTCTACTACTCAGTTCAGACCCCTTTCTTTATACTCTTGCATGAGATTAGCTCAGGGTGGTTAAAAAACCACCCAAACCTTATGCTGGGAGGTCCTGCCTCCACCTGACAGTAACAAAGCAAGATCATCCCCACAACAGTGTCACTGCTGGGTGGGGAAACATTGCTAATTGGAAATCAGTAATGAAGTGGTGAGGCACAGAGCAGGGAGAGGGGATGGGAGTGCAAGAGGAACCAACCAACCCCCCTGGGGACACGAGGGAAGAGGCTGAGCCCTGCTGTGGGGGGTGAGAGGGATCGTGAGAGGGGGTGAGAGCGTTGTGTCAGAGGGATTTTAGGTCACCCCAAAGCACCAGGTCCTTGCGGTGCCCCCAAAATTCACCCAGGGCCTGCAGTGGTTGATCTGTGTTCTAAAACATGAGCTACACCCTGAATAACAACAAGGTGAGACTTACCCAACACCTCTAAACACGCTCTGAAGGGGGGGGAGGATTAGCTCCACTCCAGCAGAGCCCGAGTTCATCCAAAGCAACGTCGACAATCCTTAACTTCAACCTCACAAACGAGTGACTGCATTGCCCCACTGGCTGTCCCCAGGCCCAGCTGGGTGACAACAATCTCTGCCAGCCTTTGCTCCTGGTTGTGGCAGTGAGGCCGTGTGCAGCCATGCACGGGGCTCCCACCTCCACCCGGGCACGGTGGAGATGAGATCCCTCATCTCCCTGCTCAGGGATGTGCCACGGGAGCCTCCAGGCTCCAAGGATGAGCTGAGGGCAAGTTGGACTTGGCTTAAATAACAATTCACAGCGAGCCTCTGCCTCCAAAATTCCCCCTCTCTCCCCCCCCCCAAAAAAAAGTTGAGAATCTTGAAAAGAGCAAATATTGAGAATCTTGAAAAGAACAAATATTGAGAATTTTTAAAGAGCAAACACTGAGAATCTTGAAAAAGAACAAACACTGAGAATCTTGCAAAGACAAGGCACGCTTAGGCTGAGCTCAAAGCATTGACCTCAGGAGTTATTTTGTGAGGTTTTACCAGCACCAGCTGCTGGGTGAGGTCTCCTTGTAACCCAAAATACTAACAACTCCTGTTCTAACCTGTCCACCAGCCACCAATGGATCGTCCATATGGGACATAAGAGCTATGGCTAATAGTAACTGGGCAAACATCACCTGGAGCCACAATTACTCTGCAGGAACTGACTTTGTGGTTAAGTATATCACCAGTAAGCATCAGATCGCGTGGGGACTCTACAGGGTGGTGGTGCCATCAGAGATCCTGCCAGCTCCCACTTAATTGATTACCTTAATTACTGCGGGTGGAGCGATGCTCCACGGCCGGGTGGAGGATGGGAGAGGAGAAGGTCCTGCTCCTCGTGGCTGTTTGGGGTGGACCAGAGTGAATCCTGAATCCCCTCCTCGTCTGTGAGATGTAGATGGGCAAGGCTGTTCCTTTGTGAACCGTGAGCTGGGCTGCACAAAGAGCCTTAAAACCATCTCTAAGCCTGCAATCTGTGTGAATTGGAGAGCGCCTTTCAACGCCTTTGAACACGGGCTTTTTGAACCTGGAGTTGGCAGAATCCTCTGTGATCCCAAACCTCCTGTCATATCGGATATCGTTGTCTCTTAACGTTGTAAGGCTCGTGCTTAGTCTGGAAACTCGGTCTCTCTGGGCTCAGCTCTTGTTTAGAAGGATGTTGGGGTGTGTTGCTGGTTGTTCTGGGGTTTCCCAGACGGGCAGTGCTCGCTGCTTATCTCTGACTTTACCTCCCAGCCACTCCAGCCCTCCCAGCAGCTGCTGTGCCAGCCTGAAATGGGCATTTAAAACACACCAGTTAGACCAGGAAACCACTTAAAACATCCCTGAAGTGATGACCTTGAATTCTCTTTGCAACAGCTCCCCGTGCAGAGCCAGGTCTCGCTCCGCAGCCCCTGGGGCTCCAGCAGGCCATGATTTCCATAATTCAGGATAACACCAGCTTGCCAAGCCCTAAATAATCACACATCCCAGCTCCCAAAGCACCCTCTGCCAGCCCTGGTTTTCCCCCCTCACTGGGAGCACAAAGCACAGGCGTTGCCCTTCCCAGTGCCCACGTGCTGGGCTGCAGCAGCAGCAATAATCCCTTGGGATGCCCTCCCCAGGATCCAGCCCCGGGAGGAAATCTTGGAGATTTCAGCCCTTCCTGGACAGTCAGGGCTCTCCATCCTTTTTTGGTGGCGTTTGAGGAGATCATATCCTCAAAGCCATGTTTCTCCTTCCCTGCAGCACCTCCAGAGCCCCAGAGCCCAGCCCCGCTGCAGGCTTGCTGGAATTCCGTGGATAATGCTCAGAATTAAGCCCATCAGCAAATGATTCCCAGCACAATGCAAAGAACAGGTTGTTCTTGGGAAGAACCCGGGAGCAACCAGCCCACGAGCAGCCCTTCTTGAGTCAAAGGGCTGAACTCTTCCCTCAAAAGCACCAACGTGCCAGCTGGGGTGGGCAGTTTCACAGTTTAATGCATTATCCAGCTCATCCTTAACCCCCCCGAACACCTGATGCACAGGTATCACCCCCAACAGCCCAAGGACCAGCTCCTTTACCAAGCCCTGCAGCACCTTCATCCAGCTGAGCACGACCAGGCAAATTTCAGCTTTTTTTTTTTTTTCTGTGCTAAACCCCCCAAATACCCGAACCCGAGGCTGGGCAGATAAAAATAGCCAGGTCTTAAAAGCAGGGAGAGATCTGAGTAGCTGCCAGTCCTTTTTTTTCCCCCGGCGTGGCACGGGGGGTGTGCAGCACGACCCACCCCGCATCCCCGTATTCCCGCATCCCTGATTCCCCCGCTGAGCCGGCCCGAGCCGTTCGCAGCTCGTTGTCGCGGGCACAAAGCCTCGCCCTGCAGGGTCGACACGGGGGATCGCGGAGCCTCCCGCGGCTGCCTTTGATGTGCGGTTTCTGTTTCTCAGGTAACAAGACAGAGAGATCTATCCCTGTTAAGGCTCAGACCCCTTCCTCTGTGCAGCTGGCGGATCTGACGCCGGGGATGATGTACAAGCTGTGGGTGTTCCCCATATGGTCTAGCCCCAGCGAGCACTCGTACATAACCTTTACCACCAGCTCAGGTGAGACAGCATGTGACATCCAGCACGGCATTCCCGTGGCGGGAGGTGGTTGGACTGCATGGAAAAAACCCTCATCCAACCCCCTCCTCACCCCCAGCCTCCGTTCAGGAGACAACCAGCAGGTTGCTCCACGTGGCAGCCCCAGGAAGGGCTTTGGGGGTGCCCGTGAAGGAAAGGGGGTTGCAGGAGGGTGGAGAACCCGCTCAGGGTGTCCCCGTGGCTCTGCTTGGGGCCCCCCCTCGGGGTGTCTGCGCTCCCTCGGCCGTGGGGTTTGCACGTGTCCGGCCCCAGGACGTGCCAGAGGGGCTGGAGGGGACGGATCCGTGATGGGATGCAGGACTGGGAGTGGGAACGTGGCATTTGCACGGGTGGAATCTCCACAGGGCTTCCCATCTGGCGCCGGGTTTATTGGCACGAGCGATTTTCCAGGCTCAGCACCCCCAGTGGGTTTTCCAGCCCCCTGGCTCTGGGCTTCCTGCTGACCCCTGTTGACTCCCACGGGCACTTTATGCATTTGTAAAAACATCACCAGTCACACTCGGGGGCTTCCAGGGAATCCAAACAGCTGTAATTCCCCCGTCGTATTCCCTGGATATTCCCTGGGGGGTTTCCAGAGGGATCTGCCTGTCAGGGCACGGCTCCAAACGCTCAGCTGGAAAACCACGGAGCAGGGAAAGGCTGGAGCAGCCGCCCCTGATGGGTGTAGTGGGTAGAGGAGGGTGATTTCAAGGAGCTGGAAGGATTTTGCTCCGATCCAGCCGAGTGATGGGAAACTCCAGCGCTCGCCGGGCTCTGCTGGGAAGGGCAGAGGGAAAATGGGATTCCCAGCAAGGCAGAGCCACGGGGAGGGGGAGCAGCTCCCCTCACCCCCCAGGCACATCCTACTTGGTGTCCGAAAATTTGGCAAGCCTTAAATCCACTGAGTAACCCCCTGACAGTGCTCAGATGACACAGGGCCAGATGGCAGCTGCTGGTGTTCCATGGAATTGTTAAGGCTGGAAAAGACCTCTGAGATCATCAGTCTGACCATTAACCCAGCACTGCCGAGGCCACCACTAACCCTTGGCCCCAGGTGCCACATCCAGGTGTGTTTTGCATGTCAGATGGTGCCCAGGAACACCCCGGGAGTGCTGCCCTTGGCTCTGCCCAGCCCTCATGTGCCTCCCCAGACTGCTCCATTGCCTCGGGATGGGATCAAACCCACGGCACAGCAGCCCCTGGAACACTCTGCCCCCAGACCTTAGAGCTGATTCTTCAGCTCAGACTCTCCCCAGCACAGCTCCAGCTGCTGTGTAACATCCCCAGTTTTGTTTCTCATTCCAGACCCTCCCTTGACTCTGGAATCACCACCAGCTCGACACCCCCCACCCCACCATGAGACTCATCCCTCTGGACAACTATCCCCAACCTGGACCCGCCTCTTTCCTGTTCTCCCCTGCTTCTCACCCACTTTGGGATCTGTGGGGGGAGTGAGGGGCCAGCAAGGGGTTGGGAATAATTAAAAAAGGGGGGTTAAAAGGCAATATCCTTGGCTGATTCACGCTGGGGGACTCTGCATATGTTCCCCATAACTGGGAGGTTCCTACTGGTATTTTCCTGGAGACTAAAGGATGGGGCCACCTTTATCCCTGTGAGAGAGGCTGGTGGTGACCTGAGCCCTGGCACTGTGGGGTGTGCATGAATAAATGCACATCCACTTCTCTGCTGGCTGGATCTGCTGACACAAGTGCTCGGCCCCTGCTGACAATCATATGCCATCAGGAATGCTTTGGACAAAAAAAGCACTGTTCATATTTTATTTTTCTTTTTTTGGGGGGGCAGGTGGTTTTTCTATATTTTGCAAAGAGCTGTTTTAAAGGTTTCTTGAGTTTGAGGGCAGAGGAGGAAGAAATATCCCACCTGCACTGTGGCTGCAGGACTCGGCCCTCTGGCTTTGCCTCTGATTAATTGGCAGCTCAGAGCCCCTCCCAGGAGCAAAGGACACTTTGAAACAGCAGAAAGAGCTCAATATAAGGAGGTTTTCTACATTTGGAATAAATAAGTTCCTCAGCCTGGACAAACACTGTGTCCAGAGAAGGGAAAGGAGATGGTGAAGAGGCTGGAGAGTCCCATGAGGAGCAGCTGAGGGAGCTGGGGAAGGGGCTGGAGCAGCAGGAGAACTGAGGGAGCTGGGGGGGTTCAGCCTGGAGAAAAGGAGGCTCAGGGGGGACCTTCTGGCTCTGCAACCCCCTGACAGGAGGGGGGAGCCGGGGGGGGTCGGGCTCTGCTCCCAGGGAACGAGGGACAGGAGGAGAGGGAACGGCCTCAGGCTGTGCCAGGGGAGGGTCAGGTTGGACACCAGGAGGAATTTCTCCATGGAAAGGGTGGTCAGGCCTTGGAAGGGGCTGCCCAGGGAGGTTTGGAGTCCCCACCCCTGGAGGTGTCCAAGGAAGGACTGGATGTGCCACTCAGTGCCCTGGGCTGGGGGACAAGGTGGGAATGGGGCTCAGGGTGGACTCGATAATCCTGGAGGGCTTTTCCAACCTCTGGGACTCTGGGAAAAGGATCCCACAAGGCTGGAGATGGGGGGACTTCACCTTCCCAGTGGTCTCCTTGTGCAATTCCAGACAGACCCTTCCCTGCTGGGCGAGCACAGCTTTGCTCCTGACTCTTGGGTGACGTGTTTGCTGCCACCAGCTCATAATGAAGTTGTTTTTTTTTTTTAAAAAAAGGCTCTGCAGTGGCATTTCCAATCAGGACCTGTGGGATTACACAGCTGCTTTCCCCTCCTTCTCCTTGATGTTGGCCTTCCATTAGAGCAAATCACAGCATCCCTCTGACAGCCACGTCCTCCCTCTCCCAACGCTGCAATGACAGCCACTCGTTTACCCCAAACACAAATTGCTCTGCCTGTAATTTGGTCCTCATGTGTTGCTTTTTTGGGAAGGATGGCAATGACACCCCCACCTTGGTGACAGGTTCCTGCTGCAAGATCTCCTGGGGCTCAAAAGCCTCCTCCCTGCCTGTAAAACTCAGCTCCAACCCTCCCACCCACCTCTCAGGCATTTGATACTTTGAAGCCCCCCTTGTTTCTGGCTGTAAAAGCCCCATCCCATCACTGGTAATGCAATCTTTGTCCATCTCCAAGCTTCCTTCCCCTTCCCTCCCCGAGCACTCAGCTAATTGAATCCAGTTCTCAGCTCCACTGGGTTATAATCTCATTGTCTCCTGTTAAAAGCACGTCCTCGAGGACTGTGGGGCTCAGGTAAATGTGGAATTTGGCAGCATTAGGGGAAAAAAAGCAGCCAAGGCAGCCAAGGCACAGTCAGGCAGGTCCTGGGTGAGCCCAGGAGGTCAGTGCTGCTCCCAAACACACAATGTTCAGGGTTTGACATCGTTTCTTTGCCGTTTTCCTTCTTGTCATTCTCCTCTTTTACCCAAATTTCCTCATCATGGTTTGTCTGCAGTTCCCTCCGTGGCTTAGATTTCATCCTGAGGAAAGGGCTTCCCCTCCTGGGTTCACTTCTGATGGAATAAGCACAGTTTAAGCCCTGAAATGCCTGAAAGTTTACCAACTTTTTCCAGGTGCTGTCTCTCTCACAGGAGCCTTTCATTCAGAACACATTCAGGGAGGGCTGTTCCATGCTCTCCTTACACCGTCCTGCTTCTTGTCAGCTTGTCATGACAAAAGGCTGCTCCCTGCCCCTCCCAGTTCCCAACTGGCTCCCAAGCAGCCCAGCTCTCCCCCCAGGAACACCTCTGTGTTTTCCTGGGTAAATGTAGCCCCCCCTGCTGCGCTGAAGGTTATTTTCTCCTCTGCTCTGTCTTGCTGAATACCAAGTGCGTGTCAATGAGAGCCAGAAAATGGCAGCGTGGAGCTATTTATAGGACACAGATTTGTCTGTCTGACCGTGCAGGAGAGCTGCAAACAGGGAGCCAGGGAACGTCAGGGAGGACACAGCAGTCAGGAGCTGTTTGGGGCACAGGACACCTCCTTGCTGGGGATTAATGCCATGAATAGTCATGAGCCTCCTGAGGGTGCTGGAAGCAGCCATAGGAAGGGTTTGCCCCAGGAGGAAACACTTTCCTGTGCCATCAAACCACCTCTCAGCTCCCTGGGACCCAGATGTTGTTCCTCAAAGCTGTTGTCACTGCTGCCTCCCCTCTTGTGCATCAGCCAGGTCTTGGTGGGCTCTCACGAGTCCCCTCCGAGCCCTGGGGACCCTCTGTGGCCCCCCAAGGGCAGCAGAGCCTCTGCCCATCCCCTCCAGGACTCCAGTTTATCCCTCAGGGCTCAGCACCCTCCTGGGGTCAGACACCAGGGCTGGATCCTCTTGGCCACGTTTGGCTCAGACCTTCTCCCTTCCCAGGGTAGCTTCCACACCCGGCAAACAAAAGCTCCAACCTGTCCCCCAGCTGCTTCTGCCGTGACTTTCTGCCCCTTTCCCCCTGCTCTGTGCCAGCTCTCACTTCATGCTGTGCCCTTTGGCTGTTTGCAGCTCCTGGGGGAACGCTGAGCTGACCAACCACCGCGAAATGGAAGCAAAAAACCCACCCCAACCCCCCCCCTCCCCAGACGTTGTGCTGCAGCCTCAGCTCCTCTGACACACACAGACACACCCAGAGGGATTCCCAAACCAGCGACCTGTCCTGCTCTTCAGCTCTCCCCCCTGTGCTCCTGCTCTGTTCCCTCACAGCTGCTTTTTTTGTGTCGCCCCCCCCTGCCCAGCCTACACCAAGAACCAGGTGGACATCGCCACGCAGGGCTGGTTCATCGGGCTCATGTGTGCCATCGCCCTGCTCGTGCTCATCCTGCTCATCGTCTGCTTCATCAAGAGGAGCAGAGGGGGCAAGTACCCAGGTGAGGCTCCCAGGGTGGGCATGGGCAGGCTGTGTCTCTCTGGGATTACCGGGATTTCCTTCCTCTGTTGTTGGTGGGGAGAGTTTTGGGTCGTTCCAGGCTGGGCGAGGGCTCAGGGCGGGTTCAGAGCTGGGCTCTAAAAAAGCCCCCCCTCTGCACATCTCGCCGTCCTCAGCTGGAAAAAGAGCTTCTCGGGCAAAAATCTTGTCAAATATTTGCAAAGCAAAAGGAAGACTGAAGGGAATCCTCCAATTTATGCCCCCTGTCACTCCTGTCTGGAGCGCTCATGGTGCCACACCCAGCACCCTTTGCAAACCCTTTGAGAACCCTCTGTAAGTCCTTCTGCAAACCCTCTGGAGGCTCTCCCAGGGGCAGGTTTTTTACCTGTCCATGAGCAGATACCCTTCAACCCTCCCAGGGGTGTCACAGACCCCCCCAAACCCCCCAGCTGCTGGTGCTGCCTCGTAAATCTTTGATTTCCTGCCCTGCTTTTAACGTGCCTGGTGGGGCTCTGCTTGTTTCCAGTCCGGGACAATAAAGATGAGCACCTAAATCCCGAAGACAAGAACGTGGAGGATGGATCCTTTGACTACAGGTACGTTCCTGTGGCATGTGGACCCCCCCAGCCCCCCATCAGCCCCTGTCCCAGCCATCACAGCCCTCACCACGCTCTCCTCCCAAAACCACAGCCCCCCGGGGCCACACAGCCTCTGAAATGATTCCTCCCACCTTCCTCCTCCTGCCTCCTTCCCTCTGAGAGTCCTCTGCCAAAGGAAACCCTTCCTGAGGGACCAGGGTCCTGCTCAGGGCTCCTCCTTCCCCCGTCTCAGCCTGGGATGAGCGGTCTGGGCAGAGCTGGGATCTGGCATCAGCTACATGGGACAGCTCTCAGCAGGAGCAGACCAACCTTGATGACACTCCAAACACAGAAAATCCCCCCAAAAACCCAAACTTTGTGTCAGCCTGAGGGTATTTCTGGAGCATCTCCCTGTAGCTCAGCCTCTCTCCTGCCCACGGGGAGTATCCAGGGGAGAAATGCCCAAAGTTCTGTTTGGATCAGCCCTGTGAGCACACAAGCACTCTGATTTGGGGGTCTGCCTGCGTGCCAAACAAGGAATTTTCTGTGAGGTCACCCCACCCAAACCCCCTTGGAGGGCTCCAGCCCAGCCCAGCAGGGGTTCAGCCGAAACCTCTCCGGCTTCCCCCGGCTCCACTCCGCTGCTTGCACGCAAATGTCACCCTTTAAAGAGCAGCAGAGAGCCCTTTTCCACCCCAGGAAAACTCCCAGGATGTGTCAGAAAGGGCCAGGCAGGTTCCCAAGCATTCCCAGCTCTGCTGCTCTCCGTGGCTGCCCCCGGGAGCGGGAGCAGGTCCCGCTGTCAGGTCTCATCGCGTTGCCCCCCCTGACAGGTGAAGGGATGTTTTCCAGCACCTCCACTGGGCTTGGCTTTGCTTTACAGAACTAAAATGCCCTTTTTCCCCCATCTGAGCTGGATCCAAAGCCCAATCAGGCCAGCAGGAATTTTTCTCCTGCCTTAGAACGGGGTTAACTCCACCCCACGCCATTCCCGATGCTCCCAGCGTTACAAAGCCAGGGAGCAAAGGTGGGAGGAATTTAGCTGGGATTCGGTGAGGGGTGGAAGAAAACACACGTGTTCTGCCAGAGACTTTAGGGGAAGCCAAACAAGCCTGGCTGCACACCCCAATAAATGGAGGCAGAACAACTGCAGCCTCCCCGAGATCGTGTCTGTGCTGCCGGGGGCACAGAAACCCCATTTCAGCAGCGATTCCTCCTCTCCAAAGGATGTCATTAAAGCCCAAAGCTCCTCAGTCCTCTGAGGGCACAACACAGAATACAAATACACCCAGCAGGGCCCAGAATAAGCAGCATGTTGTAGGGAAAGGCTGATGTTCTTTATTGCCCTGAACAACACTCGGGGACAAAACCTTCCTCACCATGCCGGGAGAGCTGGTCAGCACTTGGAGGGGTGGCAGTAAATCCACACAGAGGTTTCTGGGCACGTTCCATTCAGATTCCTGGCTGAGAACAGCAGAGGAGACATAGCTCAGCCTGGTCCTGGTGCAGGTTTTGCCCCTGATCAAAGATATCCCTTCCCAGGTGGGATTTTACCCGTGCTCCTGGTGCAGATCAGAGCCGTAACCCCAACGCACAGCTCGTGTCCAGAACAATCCCCCTGTGATTTCAGTCTGACAGGGAGCCTCTTGGCTCCCAGAGGTGTGGGATGGTGTGAATCCCACGTAGGAAGCCTCAAACCCCTCATCCCCCCGAGGTTCCTCCCCTCACACCCCCCAGGCTCAGCTCATCCCCTGGAGCTCAGCCCAGGCTGCCCGGCCGAGCTTCTGGCAGTACCCCCCCATTTCACAGCTCTGCTTCTTCTCCAGGGGCCACCAGGGGGTCCCAGCCGAGGCCTCCTCACCCCCATCCATCGCTCCCGAGGCAAACCCATTGCCAGGGGCCACTTGCCTGGCACAGAAGGCAATCCAAGCTGTTGGCATGGCTGGCAGCAGTGCCGCACTCGCTGCCCCAGCACCATCCAAGGCACAGTGACTTCCAGGCAAGGGGAAGGAATGGGGTAAATCCTTCACCCTCCTGCTTTAGCTGAGGCTCCATCTCTTGTTGACAGCCCCGTTCCCAAAAGTTTGCAGGCTAAAGGCACAGGTCAGCCGGAGGACAACAACCAAGCCCCAGGATGCTCCCATGTTTTCAATCACGTTGTCCTGTGGACTAAACAGAGGGGGGGAAAAAACCCTAATCAAACAAGAACAACCAAAAATCCCCCAACAACCCATAAACTTCGCCCCCTCCTCGGGAACAACAGGTTTCCTGGGAGAGAAGCAGTAGGAGGCTTCCCCTCAAGGAGGCAGAAAGGAAGGTGAAGCTGAAGGATGGCTCCGAAACGCTGGTGGCTGATTAAGATTGGAAATGATGGTGATGTTGGGCTCGAGGAGGGGAGCAATTAGTGTTTCGAGCAAGGACAGGGATTGAGCTGACGTGAGTCCTTCGGTGGCTCCCCCTCCCCACCTCCACCTGGCATGTCTGATGTGCTCCCATCACACCTCACGTCCCCAGTGCCCCCCGTGCATGCGACTCGCAGGTCTCTGCAGCCCGTAATTAATTGAATTCAGAGATGCTGTCACATCTTCCCCTTCCACTCATGGAATAATGGTTTTCCCGAGCACAGGCTAAAGCTGAGAAAGCTTATTTTCCAAAGCAGGGAGACCATTATCCTTGGACAATGTTCTGTGCCAGTGGCTGTGCCTCATTATACCAAATGTTCCAACGCTGCACGTGGGGGAGTCGGCGGGAAAGCCGGGATGCTGGGAAGGGAAAGTGGAGTGGTTTGAGCTGCTGGATTCCAGCTGAGGGTCAGGGCAGCCCCGTGGCAGAGGGTCCACGCTGCAGGCAGTGCCAGCTTGCCAGAATGGGCCCCCTCAGCGAGGCAGGAGGACACAGACCCTCCTCAGGGCCCTGGGAGGGCTCTGCAGGAGCAGCCCGGGCAGGGCAGGTCTGGCAGTCGGTGACACGACCCAGGCCCTGGCGTGGAGATCCAGCAGAAGGTTGGAGGGGAAACCAAGAGCCCCCCTTTCCCTTGGCCCTTGGCCTGCTGCATGTTGGTCCCCAGAGCCACCAGTGCCCCCGACAGCTGCTCCCTGGTGAACTCCAACCACATCCCAGCGAGGCTCCTGCAGGTCCCAGCAGCGAGCCCTGTTTGGTATAACGAGGCACCCGAGCAACCCGGGCCTTCCTCTTTTGGTTTTTAGCACTGCCCCCTGTAAATGCAGAGCTCATCATATCTCTCTCTCTGATCAGGCTCTTTTCTGCTTCTCTCTGTTTTATTCCCATTCTTTCTTCTCCTTTTCACCTGGTCTATCCACATGGACCATGAAGGTCTCTTGAAAGGTAGGACCACGTGCTGCCAGAAGTCCGGCACATTTAGCTTTTTTTTTTTCTTTTTTTTAATTTATTTTCCTTCCTTCTGCCCACTGATTTCATTACAGCCAAAACAACCCCTCCCCCTCCCCCTGTTCCCGTGTTCCTGCCTCACCTAACACATTAAACGAGACCCCTCTAACTCCTGCTGGCACTGGGGGTACCCCCACATCCAGCAAATTGCTCCATGGGCTGGGGGGTCCCCCCAGGAACCAGCCAGGCCCCCCCAGATCGAGCTGCTGAGCCCTCCTGGTGCAGCAGGGTTGGACCTGGGAACGATGCCCTTGGTGCCCTCAGCACCTTGGTGCCCTCAGCACCTTGGTGTCCTCACCCTCAGGGATGGGGACGAGGGACACGAGCCCGAACCGCTGGATCCTGAGACGCTCTTGGTCTCAGCCCTGCAAACCCTCCCTCTGGCTCAAGCCTCCCCCTCTTCCCGAGGATTTATGGCACTCAGGACAACGTCTCCCAGCTGGTTTTTCCATCTGGGTGCTCTGGTTCTCTAATGCACACCCGGGAATCCATTTGTTGGGGTCGTGTTACATCGAGGGGCTGGTGAGTCTCTGCTGCACCCTCCCGATGCACTAACGGGATAAACGGGCCTGGAGAGAGGTAAAAACCAGGGGGAACACCCAGGAAGTGCATTTTTCCCATTTAGGGAAAAATCTGGCTCTGGATCCAGCTTTACCTGCCCCCCAAACCTTGGGAAAGGACGTTGCCAATGAAGGGATCTGGGTTTTGCCACTCTCTACTTGGCGTTTCTGGGGCTTTCTAACCTTCAGTCCTGCTTGCAGACTGAACTCTTCCTCTCCCACCACCCCCTTACCCCCACCCCCAAAAAAAAAAGCTGCTTTCAGAGCTAACAAGTTATTTTTTACTGTGATGCCAAGTTAACACAAGGTCTCAAACCCTGGGTTTTTGTTGCTGCTTCGTTCCCAAAGTGCTGATCCGAGGAAACACGGGGGGAAAGCTGCCTGTGGTGCCCTGGGACACCAAATTCCTCTCCCACTGCGGAGCTGATGCCTTTAATTAGACAGGATGAGGGAGAATTAATGCCTTCCCACTTTGCTCCTGGGCCCAAGCAAAGTGCAAAAAAGAAAAAAAAAAGCCCAGTATTTTTCCCTGTTTTAAGGAAAATAAAGGAGCAGAGCAGAGGGAGCGAGTCTGACAAGCCCCGAGCCAAAACAACAGCAATAAAATGACAGGAGTGGAGGTGGGAGCACAAATATTTAAGGTCTCAATGTGATATCTTCCAGAATACAACAGAATTTGCAAGCTGGACATAAGATCAACCATGAACTAAGGACGAGCTGATATGAAAATTAATTGTTATATATATATTTATATATAAAGAGAGAGAGAGAGAGAGAGGGAGAATCCACTCTCATCCTCCACAAAATATCATCTCTATTTATGAGATCCCAGCCCTTCCCCTCCAGAGGGAAAACTGCTTTTCCCCGTTTAGTTTTTTTGTTAAAAGGCTTTCTTTAAAGTGGTGGTGGTTTTTTTTCCCCTGTGGGTCAAACTCTTTATTTTCCAGTGAGCTGGCTTAAATCTTTCTAGTGGGGAAAAAATAAAGAAAAAAAAAAAAAAGAGAGGAAAGCATAAAGAATTGGGGGCTCAGAAATAAGCTCAGAAAGGTGAATTCCCACGAGTTTTGGAAGCTGCACAGAACTTGGCATCCTCCACGTGCCCCCTTGCAGTGCTTGGAGTGCCCTCCCATTGCATGTGGTTCCCAAAATAGTGTGTTTTTGGCGAGGAGATCCGGCAAGAAACCACTTAAACCGGGTTAGAAAGAAAGAAGGAATAAAAGCAGTGACAGAGCAGCGATGAGGGAAGGGCGTTTCCAAAGCACACCCGAGAATTGCAGGTGACAGAGGTTAAAAACCTGATTTTTATGACAGAAAAAGTGAAGGTTGGGCGTGGGCCCCCCTTCCCCTGCACATCAGCCCCCCCACGACAGCCCCAGCACCCCCTTGGCTGGATTCGGGGTCGAGCGCCCGAGCCCTGGGGGTGGAGGCTCCCAGGCCCCGTTTCTCACCCCTCACTGTGTCTGTCTGTCTGTCTGTCCTCTGCCACCCAGCGATGAAGACAACAAACCTCTTCCCAACAGCCAGACGTCGCTGGACGGGACGATAAAGCAGCAGGAGAGCGACGACAGCCTGGTGGACTATGGAGAGGGGGGAGAGGGGCAGTTCAACGAGGACGGCTCCTTCATCGGCCAGTACACCGTGAAAAAGGACAAGGAGGAGACCGAAGGCAACGAGAGCTCCGAGGCCACCTCCCCTGTCAACGCCATCTACTCCTTGGCATAGCCCAGTGCCCGGCAACACCGACAGCCTGAGGGGGTCCGGAGGGCCTGGGGGGGGTCCCACAGCAGCCCCCCCCCCCCCCGATGGGAATGTGGGAATGGAACCGACCGACGAAAAAACGAAATGCAAAAAAAAAAAAAAGGGGAAACAAAAAGAAAAAAAAAAGAAAAACCAAACAAACACACACAGAAAAAAAAAAAAAATAGAAAGGAATCCAAGCAAACAGGCGGCCCAGGAGGCTGCCCAGGCCATTTCTCCTTAGCAAACAAGCCAAGGGACTCACGGGGTTGGAGCTGGGGCGGAGATTCCAGAGGGGCTGGAAGGGGAGATGCTCGAGGTGAACCCCAGTTTTGGGGCTGCCCCCGGCGCCCAGAGCCAGCCCCGAGGGGCTGCAGGGTGGGCTGGGCTGCCCAGACCTCCCCCCCCCCAGGGCCCTTTCTGTTCTTTTGGGAGGGAGCTGAAAATTCTTCTATTTAATTTTGGCAGGAAGGTTCTGGATAAGAGGGGAGGGGTAGAAATAAAGCCAAGAGTTTGGGGGAGGGAAGGGGGGTGAGAGGGGCCTGGGCAGAGCAGCACAAATGTGGGAGAGGAGGAAAGTGGTGGATCTTTGGGTGATAACACACTGTACTCCTGAGCCATCCATCCTCACAGCAGCACCTCGCCCAGGGCCTCTCCCAAAACAGCCAGAGCCACAAGCTCCTTCTCCAGAGAGCAGCACCTCTGCAGGGAGAGCAGGTCCCCAGCACTCCCCCAACACCTCCCCCCTGCAGAGCCCACGAGAGCTCACCCAGAGCACCCTCGGAGGACAAGAGGCTGCAGAAGAGCTCGTGGGACTGGTGGAAGGACAGTGAGGTGCCTCCCACCCCCCGAGCCCCGGGGGAACAGCACTGCAGGCAAACCAACCATCGGGGTTCAGCCTTTGCTTTGGAGGGATCTGGGGGGCACCTGCCCCCAGCCCACACCTGCTTTCTTTTAAAGGCAACTCCATAAATCTTATGTAGCAAAGAGGGAGTGGAAGCAGGACGAGGATGAGGAGGCCGGAAATCACTTGTTTTTGGAAGGGAATCAAAGGCAGAGGGTGAGGATGGAAGGACCCCCCGGGTTCGGGTGGAGCATCCCCCAGAGCCGCAGCTCGGAGGGCTCAGGGACACCCCAGGAGGGCACGTGGTGGGAACCCAGGAGCCCAGCCCACACCTCCCCAGGCTCTGGGACGAGCCAGACGGACAGTGTGTCCCACTAACCCCCCTCCTCATTTCTGACAGTGGCCTTTCCCCCCTCCATCAATCAGCCTGAGCGAGCCCCTTCCCCGTGGGACCCCCCCCAGCCCCCCGCTGTCTTCTCTACATATCAACCCCCTGCATTTAACCCCCCCGGCTCGGGTGGGAGCGCTGCTCCACATGCCTTACACAGCTTGGACCTTCCCGGGGAGTCCACTGAACTGGCACTCTCCGACCCCCAGGGCAGCAGGAGCAGGGCGGCCGGGCGGCATTCCCGGCTGGCACAGCATGGATCCCGGCTGGCACAACGTGGATCCCGGCTGGCACAGCGTGGATCCCGGCTGGCACAGCACGGATCCCGGCTGGCACAACGTGGATCCCGGCTGGCACAGCATGGATCCCGGCTGGCACAGCACGGATCCCGGCTGGCACAGCATGGATCCCGGCTGGCACAGCATGGATCCCGGCTGGCACAACGTGGATCCCGGCTGGCACAACGTGGATCCCGGCTGGCACAGCGTGGATCCCGGCTGGCACAGCATGGATCCCGGCTGGCACAGCATGGATCCCGGCTGGCACAGCACGGATCCCGCAGGAGGAGGCAGAGCTGTGGACCAGCCCGTGTTCAGTGGCCAAAGCCACGCGTGTCCTCCCAGCTCCTGCACTTCTGAAACCAAAGGTACCTTCGCTGAGAGAGAGATCCAAGGGTTGGTTCCTCCGGACCACGAGCGACGTCGGGATGGATTTTTGTTTCCTTTTTTTTTTTTTCCCTAAGGAGGAGGTTTTTCTTTGTGTTCAGCACAGTGGATTGATTGCCACGGGATTAATGCAATTGTTCTTTCAGCTCTCAAGCTGGTTTGCTCTACAGACACGTCGCTCTAACGGGAACACTTCTGCTGCTGGGGGTTGGTGAGAGGGCCACGTCCTTTAAGCTGCCCGTGGCAGGAGGATCCCGGGCCTGAGCACCTGTGTGGCTCCTGCTGCTGATCCCGCAGGGAAAACAGGAGGGAAGGATGCAGCTTAAATGCCTCCCTTAAAAAAATAACCCTAATTTCTCCCGGCGGGCACAGCCTGCCCTCCCTGGCACCCTGCCTGTGTGTGACAGCACAGGAGCCCCAGGAGCGCAGGATATGGGGGGACACTGCCGTGGGTCCCTGATCCCGAGGCTGCTCCCGTCCTCCCTGGAGTGCTGGCGCAGCCAGAGGTGGAAAAAGCAGCGGGAAAAATCGGGAGTTTTGGTCCGAGCCCTGAAATCCTGGAAACCCAAGGGGACACCAGGTCACGACGCCCCCACAGCGTCCCCTGTGCCAGCATTGCCTTCTCAGCGGGTGACAGCCCCCGGTCCCACGCGTCACAGTCACTCCTGACCCGAGAGAGCGACGAGGAGCTGCCGCTCCTGCCGCCCACCCCGCCGGGGGGGAGCGGGAGGGTGGAGGGCAGGGCTGGGCAGTGCCACCCGTCACCACCCTGGCACACGCGGCCCCTCTCTCGGGCCGTGCCACCGCCTCTCCTGGCACATCCCACCGCCTCTCCTCGTCGCGCAGGTCCCAGCAGAGCTGCGAGTTCGCCCTGCAACGCCTCACCCTCGTGCCAGGCTTAGCGTGTGTAACTTAAGCAGCAAGCCCGATTTCAGTTTAAGCAATAAAAAAGAAACTTGTTTTAAAGAAAAAAAAAAAAAAAAAAAAAAAAAAAAAAAAAAAAAAAAAAAAAAAAGAGGGAAAAAAAAATCTATTTCTTGCACTAAAAACCTGTTTTATTAACGAGAATAACGATGCTTTTCTGGTCCTGACAAAAAAATCACCCACTGCATCGGTAGCTCCCCTTGCCCAGCAGCGCCTGTCTCCATGTCCTCGCCTCGGGCATCGGGCTTTGGTTGTCCGACACAGTCTGAACCCACGTCAAAGCCACAAAAAATCCCATGTCAAACCCCCCAGAACGCCGTGTCAACCCCCCGCAGACCAGAGTCCTTCCTTCACAGCACCGAGTTTTCCACGTCTGTTCCTCCTGCTCACACCCAGACAGAAAGTATTGGGACTATTTTGTTTCTCTTTAATTTGTAAATATATATCACAATCCATCCATCCTCTCTGTGAAACCTCCTGGTTGGTCTAAAGTATTCTATGTATTTATTTGCCTTTTTTTTTTTTTAAAGCAAAAAAAAAAAAAAAAAGAGGAAAAAAAAGGGGAAAAGGACAAAAAACCCACCACCTTTGAGTTAACCCACCTGTCCCAACGAGAAATGTCGAGCTGAAGCTGTAAAATCCCCCGTTTACAGCGAGGAGATTTATGGACTACAGGAAAAAATGTTTAATATAAGGACTTATAAACCGACTGCATGAGAGATGAAAGAAGGCCCAAATACTCAGATATCTTTTTTTTTTTTTTTTTCTTTTTGAATCACTGTAAAAAAAGAAAAAAGACGGGATTTTTTTGTATAGAGAACACTAAACATATAATAAAACATTGTTCAAAACTCAGCGCCGAGCCTGCGGGTCACCTCCCTCGGCCACCCACAGCTCCGGAGCCTGCGGGGTTGTGCCGGTCCCCAGCGTCCCCTCCTCCCTCCCCAGCCCTTCCCCAGGAAAGGAGGGTGTTCAGGCCCCCCGAACCATCTCCCAGCAGATTTTCTGCCCCCAGAACTCCTCACAGAGCCCTCCCTGACCATCGCCAAGGTCAACGCGACCCCAGAGCGGGCGGTGGGGTCCCTTCCAGGGGGGGAACCCGGGGCACGAGGCTGCCCCGTCCCTGCACGCCCTGGGGAAGCTCAGCACGTCTGGGACGCTGTGCTGGCAAAGCTGGCAAAGCTCGGCACCCTCCCGGTGCCAGCTGCGCCCCCACACCCTCGGGGAGCGCGGGATATGCGGGATATGCGGGAAGAAGGAGCCCCCAAGGCCCAGCAGACGCGGGAGCTCCCGGGGTTCACCCAGCCCCCCGTTCCTGGCACTGCTGCCCCCCCCGGGGCCCATCCTGCCCTCCCGGCCCTTCCCGCTCCCGGCAGAGGTTCCCCGGGGCCGAGCCCTGCCGGGAAGGGGCTGCGGGAAGGGGGAGCTCTGGGGGTGACGGAGGTGGAATTGCTCGCTAAGAGGATGAAGGCATTAGTGCTTCCTGCTGCAGGGGGGGGCTCCCCCCACCCCCTCCCCACCCCGACTGCAACAGCAGTGACCGAAAAAAAGGGACTTTTTGCCCAGTGTAGACCCCCCGGTGCAGACTGGGGCAGTGGAGGCAGCGGCCACACTCAGTCCCTGCCCCAGGGAGGGGTGGCAGAGGAATTGCGCTTGGTGCAGAAATTCCAAGCTCCTGGAAGGCAGGGACTGCTCCAAACCCTCAAATCCACCGCTTCCCACTGCCCACAGGAGCCTCCAAGCCCAAGGTGTGGGCGTCTCTCGGGGCTGTCCAGGCGGCTGCTCCCACCGTTCCCACGGGACACGGGGCTTTTATCAGCCAGGAACGAGCGACGACGGGCCGTGCCCGTCCCCGGGATCGATGCGGGACAGACGCGGACACATCAGCACGATAATGACACCCGTGTCTGCCCGATCTCTGCCCGGGGGCAGCAGGGCTGGATCAATACCGGCAGAGTGTCTCCAGTTACCCTCCTTCTCCTCGGAGAGGCAGCTCCAGCCTGTTGCCTTCCCTTCTGGCACCGGGAATATCCGAGGGAGCCCTTACAGAGCTGCCTTCCCCCCAAAGTGCTGTCCTGGTCTATGTTTGCACCAGGACAAACACCCCAAAGGTCCCTGATGTCATTGTCACCTGCAGAGAGACCCTCAGAGAGCTGCTGAGAGCAGGGACACAAAGGAGAGGGGGCAGAGGGCAGGTCCCCCTCCCTCCACCGGGACAGAACTCCCTTGGATTTCGCTCCTCTCATCCCTTTGCTGGGGATCAGGCTCCAACCCTGCTCTTCCTTTCTGCCCCACA